CAAACAAACAAACAAGTAAGTTTGAAGCAGTTCGTCGACGCTCTCTGTAATTTTGCTGCGTGTTTTATTGTGTTATAACAATTTACTAAACATACTCCATTCTTCAACTTAACCATATTAGGTTTCAAGCTAAATAATTTATAAATCATGGAAGTAGCATATTGCAATACTTGTGGGCGATGTTGCAAAGTTGGAATTTGACTAACCCTATATATTCTATTAATGTGATTAACGAAGAAACGTAGTATGCAGGCATACAAGTCGATCACTCTTTAATTAATATATAATTAAAAAAAGTGTGGATATTGTATATGTAGTCCTAATATAGAATGTAGGCCAAGGGAGCTCCCAATTTCCTTTTACTCTATTTACTAACTGAGCGAGATTTAACTAGGGTGTCATATGTACTTTCTTGTGAGAAATATTCCTGTACGTAAATGGTCAAGAATCTTTTCAACTAGAAAGTCAGGTGATAACTTGAGAATATAACTCCCAATGTGTTGCTATGGGAATGATCAACAGTCACATAGGTGTACATTATACTTTTGACAATGCTGCATAGGTCCACGACTTTTTTCTCAATATGGCTGGAGACTCGAGAATCTGGTAGACACAGATTGGTGATCAGGTTGTCTCTCCTATGGATCGATTTCAGTTCACAGGAGGTACAGATGAATGAGTAATGTCACGATAGTGTGACGTCTGACGAAATTGATACTGATTATGATAGACTCTCAGGATTCACTGACCATAATAGTCCAATCCTAGCTCTGGTTGATACCACCTGTGACCAACTTAGAAAGACTGGATGTGATACTGGCTGACTATGCCAACCAGTCAGAGCTGCTTTGCCAGCAGATGAGAAATTTTGATTTTGATGTATAATCCTTTACTCACCATTAATAACCTAAATGTTTGGATATCATGTGACATACCATCACACTTAATTGTCTAATTATTATTCAGCAGACTAATTGGTTATTTATTTATTTCTGAATTTATTTTCATCACCAAAATATAATTTTCAGTAAAGAAAGTGGACATAATCTAGAAACGTTGGTGATATATAAGGCATTTATGAGCCTCTCCATGATGGGAGGTATACTGCCAGGGTGACCAATAGTCAAGGAGAAGCCCAGGATCAAGCAAATCCTACACCAAGCTAAGAGCCCATTGGTGAGAAGTTTATGCCCAGACCACAGGTTTTTGTAATGAAGGCTAAGTATAGCACACATCTGACATTTAAGAAAGCATGGAAAGAGGATTTGAACGATTACTGGAGGTTTTCAGGCATATCACTGTCTGGAATGGATAGACTCAAGAACTGGCAGTAAAAAACTTGGCCCTGAGTTTAAATGGTTCAGCCCTCGAATCTATTGAACACTTAAAGTGCAACTATGGAATTAGAAAACAGTTTAATTGAGTTACACCAATGTTTGACCCTGTGGAGAACCGAATTCTGTGTTGGGCCAAGTTCAAGGCTCGAAAGAGTTACTGCCGAGAACTTGGACACTTCTGCAGATAATTTATGTTGTTTGCAGGGAAAGCATATCTTACAATGGCTTCGGTAAAACATGAGGATATCCTCAAAGATAAGTTTATTGGGGGGCTACCTAGTGAGGCAATGAAGCATCAGTTGGGAATGAGACATTTTTCACCACACTGGAGACAGTTTCTGCAGTGATGACGTTTAAAGTTGCAACTTTGAATAAATTGCAAAAGAGGGAGAAATACACATCACTCTGTGCTCAGTGATTTGTTGGTTGAATGTGTCATTGCATTCATGGGACCAGGTGATCAACTGGATCAAAGAGAAGTAACTCACTAAAACATAAAAACATCTGATTGAACAAACATCATGCATATTTCGCTGAAGTACTAGGGATATAGCTAGTGTCAAAATACAGTGGATGCTAAAGGACAGAATCATACAGCCTTCACAAAATTCATGATAATCTCCAGCAGTGATTGTCAGGAAGTAGTGTACACAATGGTTCTGTGTTGATTTGAGACAGATAAATGTGGTGACCTGCACCGATGCCTTTCTACTCCAACAAACAGAGAAATATTTGGATGCATTAGAAGGAACTTAATGGTTCAACACTTTAGGCCTGTCATCCAGATAATGGCAAGTCAAGCTGAATGGTGAGAGCAGATCTAAAATCGCTTTCAGCCTTGAGATAGTTTGTATTAGTTTTGCATCATGCCATTCAATTTTAGTAACACACCTGCCAATTTTTAGAAGCCGATGAAGCTTACACGAAAGATCCCTGGTCTATGCAGATGTTTTATTGATGTTTGGTCACATGTTCAAGTCTATTGATGAAAAAATGAGCATCGTACTTTAGTGGATAAGAAAGGCAAGTCTGAAGTTGAAACCAAGGAAGTGTGCACTTATGCACATGTAGTATGCAGGTGGAAGTTTTTAGCTCATATTGTGGGTAGAGATTGAGCCTCTACTGACTGTACAAAGATTGCAGCACTACAACAGTAGCCTAAACCCAAGACCAATAAAAAAAAAAAGTCCACAGTTTCTTTCATTTTGCATCATATTACTGTTGTTTTGTGACCAACTTCTTCAAGATTACAGCACCATTATCTGCTCTCACTATACAACCAATGTACAATATAGATGGACTGAGTGGTGTAACCAAGCATTCCCGTCACTAAAACATATTTTAAATGAAGCACTAGTGCTGGCATATCCTCAAGAAGACTGTCAATTATTGTTGGATACTAATGCCAGTGGTAGTGGAATCAGGACAATGTTGTATAAGTTGAAGGTAGGTGTGGTAGCATACACTAATCATACAGCCATGACTCCTGAACACTAATACTACACGATGAAGAAAGAACTGTTTGTAATATTGGTCTTCATGAAACACTACATTTAGCAATCAGAGATAACAAAACAAAAATATAGCAATATTTACAAACAGAACAGGGTAGATTTCAGGATTCAGAAATAACAAGAATACAAGGAAACTAAAAAAGTATGTATAAGTCAATGTGACAACATTTCAGCAATCAGATGTAATAATATTAAAGCACAAAAAACAGAAGAAATGTATCTAAGCACATATCTGAGAATGTCATAGATCAGGGAAGAGACTACATGTTTTGGATATTCATTCAAAGCTACACAAAGGCTACTTGCTCTATCCATCATTAATTTTGAACCGGTAGACTAGAAGAAGTTATATAGTCATCAACACCCACCGCCAACTCTTGGGCTACTCTTTTATCAACGAACAGTGGGATTGACCATCACATTATAATGCCCCTATGGATGAAAAGGCGAGCATGTTTGGTGGGACGGGGATTCGAACTCGCGACCTTTAGATTGCGAGTCAAGTACCCTAACCACATGGCCATGTCGGGCCTTAAAATTCTGATTCACAGTATTAGGCATGGATCAGTGCACAATCCCAAGCCAAGAAATAAAGGTGTTGTTGGCTATGTTTTTAATTTAGACATTTGTATCTTTGTTGACTTATGATGACTTAATGTCGGGAAGTTTTCAGCAGTATAATATGCGAGTTAGAGTAGAGTAGATGGATAACTGATTATAAGTGAGTCTGTTAATCACATAATGAGTAATCATTGCATTATTTAGTCAATTTGTATGTTGCTGGCAGCAAAAAAATGTTATCTTTTCTATTATTTATTTTTGGGATAAACTTTTATTTAACTTTTAAACAGTGTATTTGTACGAAAAGAAGCAGCAAAAAATATCAATTTATAGTGGAGTGAAATATTTTAATACATTTCAAAAGAGTATACATACACTCAACATTTAGGATACAGATGTTAGACCTTTAAAACAAGGTTACAGGAAAGTATTATTCAAACAACAACTTCTTTTAACTTGAGACTAATAATAAGTTTATCATGATCATTTCACCATTACAGCTTTTTAGCATATGTTTCTATGTTACTGCATAAATTGAAAGCCATTACAATCTAATCTTGTATTATGATGTATATAAATACTTTTTAAAACACTTTATTTCAAATTTTTTAAAGTTTTGAACCTCCTATGATGGCATGTATATAATGATAATTTACACTCTGTTATGAAAGTTACTAAAATACAATATTTGTAAAAGATGCACAGTACTTCAACTTAATCTTATATTACAAGACCACTGAAAAGGAACTTGCAGGCCCAAGTTTACTGTACTGTTCAAGCATAAGCAATCTGATAATGGTGAAATGGTCTGTTATTGGATACAAAGAAGAACTGAAAACTTAAATAAGTTCCTGAATGTTAAAGAATTAGTGAAACTGGTTAGTGCCATAACTTTGCTTTTCTTAATGCCCACTACGGACCGTTACTAGTAAGTGTTTTACCATGATTAATAATGATGTATTAATTCAATCAGTAATGTATTTTACTAGAAGTTTGGGCAGATATAAAATATTTTTATGAAAGGACCTGATTTAGCTAACAAGTGTTTGGAAAAAGCAAAATTTATGCCCAGTCTGCCATGCTGCTGTTAGTTCTCTGTATATTTGAATAGAGGGACTTTCATGATCAATTAACCAATTCCAAGAAGCAGTATGCATCTGAAAGAATACTGTGGGAACATCTTAATGAATTTAAACGTCAAAGACAGCAGTCCAAATTAGGCTTTCCATCCTTACAATACATTACCTGTAAACTTGTAGGAATGCTGAGATTGTCCCAGGAAGAAACACAAATCCTTCACAAACACAGGACATTTATATAAAACATTTTGCTTAACTAGATTTTGTTAAAAATTAAATAACACTAGTCCAAAACATCATCAATGCCCAAAATAATAAAGAAATTATATTTGATTTTAAGAGTTCAATTCTTATGTGAATTTCAACAGTTTAACAACAAAACATTTAGTTCAATTAAATATTACATAATTAAAAAATCATTTGCTGTATTTAGAACTTTCAATCAACAAAATGGATAAGGACATAAGAGCCTTTAGTTATTGCAATACATAAAGCACTGAACACACACACACACACACGCTTATTGTTTGACATGTTCAGCTGTTGCTGAAATGCAAGCTGATTGACTTACATAAAGTGACAATTTATCATGTATATAAATAAATGAAACAATAGAAAACACATTTTTAAAATAAGTTAGTAGTTCAAAAAAATCCAAAGTTCTACAATACCTTGCTACACTTCTTCCATTTTAAAATACTGACTTTCATATATATATATAGATAGAGAAAGAAATGAAACACGACTTTTGTGTGGATACATGACAAATGAAAATACGTAAGTTTCAACACAAATAAATTTCCTGTAATGTGAGGCTGTTCCTATATTGCACCAATTATTATTCCTTTAATTATCTGCAAACAATCAATTTTATGTCTGCAAAACTGATAGTTAAAATATGTTTAAATAACAAATCAAATGAAACCAATCGTCTACAATAATGAAAACATAATCTATGTTTTAATGATGAGTTAAAAAGCTATTCTGTGTTATGAACATCAAGAAGTATTTTTATTGTTTTTTGTTAATAATAAGTTTGTCACTCATGATAAATTAATTTTTGTTTTATAACTAAGTAGTGGAATTTGAAAAAAAAATCTCTTTAATACTGGCTGAAAATTATTTAAGTTTCAAATAAAAGGATTTTGAATTTCTCGTAACTTTCTGAAATTGTTTTACTGTACCTAGAAAATAATGAATTTGGAACCAAAATAAACATATTTTATGTTTATGTAAAGAATATTTTCTTAAAAATAGCTGCAAATGAAAGTTATAAAACAATATTTAAAGATTTATGATGAATATTTGGGATAACTATAAATACATGCATAATGTTGTTGAGATTTCACATAATTCTGTTTTCTAAAAGCCGAAAGAAATTCTTATGTGTATTATATAGTATTAATGAGAACATAACCAATGGCAGAAGCAATTTTTATATCACTGTAACTAAAATATGTTGAGCTTTGTTTAATCGAGCATTTAAAAAAACAAAAACAAAGTTGATATTCAAAGTGAAGTCCTCTGTTAAGTGCAAACATTGCATGTATCATTTCACCTAATTTTAAGATCATTCATGATCATAACATAATTATAACGATTTTGTTAATTAAAATATTTCCAAAAAACAAACAAACTTATATTTCAAAATTTTTTATGAGTTTGCACCAAGAATAAACAATGCATATCTATCCTTGTGAGAAACCTACTTTTATCCTTTTCTGTTTTCTCAATGAACTAACACATTTAAATCTAAGTACTATTTAAATACACAGAGAAATATCTATTCCATGGGATGCTATTCAAAACTCTTGAACTGTTGGTTCAAATAATATAACTACAAGAAATTTAATGGCTGAAACACCAGAGACAGGCAGCAAATTTATGCTAGCAGATACTTCAAACACAGATAGAACAAAGAACATTTTCACAGTACTAACAGAATAACACTTTACAGAAACTTTTGTAATCATGTACCAAAAACATTAATACCACATCATATAAGAATTAAACAAAGGTACTGTAATAAGACAGAACTAATGTTGTACTATGACCTTTTATGCAATGTACAAGCATGCTTGTGTGCAGAGAATACACTAAGAATATTTCAGAGGAAGAGCTATAATAGTACTATGTGGATCACCATCTCCCATTAAATTTTTTGAAGTGTTTTATTTACACTATCACAAATATTTAAAAAGAAACATGTTAAACAAAAACAGCAAAAAATATCAAACTACAGGTTTTTTGGATCTGCAAGTTTTTATGAATTATAACCTAATTTATCATCAGTAAGTGATATTTATTCTTTGTTTAAGCCAATAATGTTTTTCCAGGTGTTAATAAATAATTTTTCAATACAAAGCTTTTCACAACAACCTTGCATGCCACATTTTAAAACAATATCCATTTGTAGTTTTTACAAACATCATAATTTGTTTTTCTAACAAATTATATAGTAAGAGTCTACAAATTTAAACAGAAAATTTGTTATAAAAGTCAGCAAGTTAGTCTTTTTTTTTCCAGGGAAGTTGAAGACTTAAACTTTATGTCACAAAATAAGTATTTTCATTTAATTTATGTACTCGATAAAAACAAAAATAGCTGAATTCATTTGATTTTCTTTTTATAAAAGCACTTTTGTGCTAAGCCCTGTTCTCATGTTAATTATCGAGAACCTGCATAAATCCTAAACTGCATGCCTTTATTAAGTGTAGATCAAGTTAAGGAAAATTTTCAGAGAAGCTACAGATTTTTGATTAGGAATCAAAAGCTAAAAACAAAATAATTTCTAAGTGGTCAAAAAGTACTTTATACTTAATTACAGAGCAAACTATACTGCAAAGACAAACTTTTAATATAAGCTTATGTTTATTACTTAATAAGGAATATGATTGTGAAACTTGTGTAACTGTGACATAAAAACATACAACATATCTATCAATGTGTTATTGCTGTAGTCTACATGTGCACAAAACATACACATCTTTTTCAATTACAACTTTATCACACTTATACTCTAACAAAGTAAACTCAGTTATCAGTGATTTCAATATAATATATAATAAATATTATATTAACATGTAATATTTAACTTATTCTGAGCGACTTTCACTTCAAACTCTGGTCTAAAAAAACTTCTGCCTTATGTAGTTATTTCAAAAAATATTGTTATTGATACGAAACAACATTCAATAAATAAAATATTTATTACAAGATGGCTGCTCTGTTTTCTTCACCAAAAGTACATATAATCTGGTTGGAGTCGCTTTCTGTTAGGCCAGTAAGTTATGTAACCATAAGTGTATTTAATATCCAAAGAAAAACTAACTTTAATTGTGTAAAAATCATATTTTACAGACAATTTCATATTAAGAAAAATTCCATTGTGTAGAAATTTATAAAATGCTTGGTTTCTAATATAATGTAATTAAGTATTCTTATTTTTTGCATTTTAAATCAACAAGAACACTATAAACTAGGTAATATGCATCTGACATGAATACTTTTGTAAAGTGCGGCTGAAATAATAGCAATCTTTATATATATTCCAACCTGCTTCTTATAAATATTCTTGCTGTATTGAACATCATATCCAATAAGTAAAATTATTGGTAGAAATTTGAATAAAAACAATACTGTGCTGAAAAATTAAACATGAAAAATTATGATGGAAACAAACATAACATGAATAACCTTTATCTTCTCTTTTTCTTAACTAGTTACATAATACCACCTATGCAACTGTTCTACTTGCATGCTCAGCCCTATATAATGGTATGGAGAAATAAAAAGGTTCTCAAAATGATATTAAAAATAACTATAATAAGTTTACAACTTTTGGTATCAAAAATGAAAAAAAAATATATAATTTCCCAGTTAAAATATAATGATATGTGTAACTTTATTGAAAAGAAAACAACAATTTAGCTGGTTAATTTAGCCCAGTTTTGTTTAGGGATATACTTGAGCTCTTCTTACTACAAGAACAGGATTGGCATATTTAACAGAAGCTTGACATTAAAAACTTTGTTATCATTTATTTTGGGTTGATTAAGACTTGAAGTGTCACAATTCATAAAATCACCCTTTAACTTATAGCTGAACGTTCAGATGAGTTTTTAATGTATTCAGTGTAATACAAAGAACTAAATGTTTCTTTCAATCAGTATTAACAGTTTTAGCATATTATTGTTATACCATATCTGATTGAAACTACATATATTCTCGTTATTGCATGGAATTTCTCCCAGCCTGATGAAAATTTTGGTCTCATTGTTTTTCAAAGCACTTCATATTTATTCCAGAGTGAATAAATATCATGCAAAAAAACTAATATATTTCAGGAATAGCTTTGAACAAATAAGAAAATAACATAGGCATTTATTAAAAACAAGGATGATCATAATACTCTTATAATAAATGCAGAAAAATTAAAAAAAAAATATATATATATATGTATAGATATCCTCTAGATTTAGTTTAAAACTTTGGAGAACACTTACATGCATTATTTTTACATTTCAATTTTACACTATCCTTACTTGCTATATATATAATCTTACTTTAGTCATCTTAGTAACCAAACTAATAATTTGTCTATGCAATCAGAGATTCGTGTAAAACAGACTAGGATAAAAGAACCTGTACAAACCAAAAACAAAACAGTAAGATAGATATACTGGCTTAATTATGTTTCCCTAACATACATATACAATGTAACAACAACTGCTTGCATGAAACAAAAAAAAATATGCAAAACCAAGATAAATTAATTCTGATACAAGAGCAAACGTAGGTTTTATGGCACAGTAGCTGAAGCACTGACTTAGCTGATAACAATATTTGACTAATACCATTATTTGTTGTGTTTTCCAGTCCACAACATTAACAAATTCGTTTAATAATACAGCATCTTCAAAAATAAGCAATAAATGCAACAAGAGATTATTCCTAAAATAGAGAAATAAAAATGTGCATAACCAAGACAAATGAATTCTGATATCAATAAATGAACATTGTTCATGTAACACAATCTAGTCATGAGCCATGACATAGTAGCTGAAGCATTGATTTAGTTGACAACAATATTTGACTAATACCAATCTTTGTTGTGGCTACCACAACATTAACAAACGTGTTCAATAATAAAGCACTCAGACTTTAATCTCCTATGTAGTAGTAACAATTAAAAAACATGTGGCCTTTACGACAACAAGGTACACCGCAGGATGCTTGACCTTTATATTGTAAGGTACCCACTGTAAATACTTGACAAACATTTAATTACTACCAGACATTTTAAACATTAAAAATAATATCATATGGAGACACATCAATTAGAATGTCTCATAAGGATACTATAGATTATAAAACAAAAACTGAGAAATATCTGTTCTTTTCATGGAGGAATGTATGCAACAAAAGCCTTGGTATTATATTATACAATACCAATTACATCATGTTGAAAATACACTAACCTTGCAGTCAGAGTAAATATGTAGTTTTCCTCGTTCACGAGCAAACTGAGTCTTTTCTCAGTGTGACTAAAAAGCATCGGTGGTTGAGACATAAATGGACAAGAGAAGCTTGTGAAAGACAATGGCAATCAACAGCTTAACCTTGACAAACAACTCTATTATCAGATTAATTAAACTGTATTTCTCAACAAATTCTTTAAGTAGTAGAATGATGGATTCTTACACCAACATTTGGCACAACAAATTTCCTTGACATTAAAGTTCTTTTGGCAATGTGCCAATCAATCCATACTGATTTAGATTCTAGAAGTTATCTGATGTAGTGAAATTGTTTCTCCTTTAAAATAGAGTTTATATCAGTCTTCGTACTGTATAAAGAAAAACACATTTTAACCAACAGTAATTTTTGACAGTGGTTGTGGCTCCTGTACAAGAAGCAAGCTTTTCTTGAAGTAAATCAAATGCAGTGTCAGGCAAACTGTCACTTAGCCAGTTGTGGCATACAACAGTAACGTATACGAGGGAAAGGAATTGTTCCATGAAGATTCATACTCAAGACTTTAAGACAAGAAAATGACAACTTGTTGTGAACCTGTGTCGACAAAAACACCAACTTCATTAGGAGAATAATTTGCCACAGTCAGCAGGCGTAAATGTACCTTCCTTAGACTACACTTTAGTGGAAGCTAGTTTTGGAGAAATGGCTCTTGTTCTCAAATCTGTAATTTGGGCAGATAAAGGATAAGACGTTGTTCTCTTTGCTGAGTGACGTTGACGCAGACCACCAACACCTTGACCAGGCAAAACAAATACACCTCTGGGGAGAATCATACGGGCATTACCTTGAGCAGAGCGTGATCCACCAGGAGCCTTAAGATCACTGAGATGTGCAGCATAGCCATCAGTAAGAACCTGAAAAAAAATATATTCTTTTTAAATTTCCCTCTAGAGTACACTACAGTCAGTATAGTAATAAAAAAATTAATTCTGAAAGTATATTTATTGTTTTCTATACTAAAACATGGTCAGATATTCTAACAGAGGTTACCTTTTTTTCTCACCACAATATTCCTTGATGTTTAAAGTGCTTTTACAAATCAGAGTAATCCAATTAGTTCCATAAAATGAATAACAAAAGTCCAAAGTGGTCTTTTGAAACTTAAAAAATACCTGTGTTTCAAATTGTGCTATTTAAAGTATTATTTTTAATGTCCTCAAAAATTCCATAAAAGTTTGGAAATAAAGGATATAAGTTTTTTTTGGGGGGGGGGGGGAGGGAGACGTAATCAACTTTTTATTATTTGAAATACTTATAGAATAATTTATATGTATTAATGATAAAATTCTCACAGTAGCCATGGAATGCTGCTTTTTAGATGCTTTTCCCACAATGAAAATCTGTTCTGGCAATAACCCAACAGTGGAATACACCCAGATGTCTTTACTTGAACCATAAGCAGCATGGATAATCATATCAACCTGTGAAAGACAGTTATATAGTATCATTAAGGAATAAAATATGATAAGCATGCACACAAATGTGCCTTTAAATGATGACTTTTATTTCTAATTTGGTAAGTTACAAAAACAAATATGCACAATTATATTACAGACCTGTCTTTTTTTAGCCTTCTTTTCCACTTTAACTATTGTGCTAATCTTGTACTTGTGTTAAAGGAAGTTCATTAAATACTCGATTTATAGGTATTCTTTCTTTTAACTTTTGATTATCTAAAATTTACATTTGTAAATTGTTATACAAACAATATATTAGATATAACACTACTTTATTGAATATGTAATTACTTCCTGTTTATCTTTTATTTTTAGCTGTGGCATAGTGGCTCATGGAATGGCTCCGAGTTTTTTTCGAGTACAAACTTTGAGCTCATAGCTCTGTCATCTCTTGATGGATTTGAGATCTAATTACAGTTTTGGACTCAGGAGGTCAAACCCTTTAGATTGGTGTATTTGTTTTCCATTTGAAAAAAATCCTAGTAAAGCCATGGAAAACTCTTAACAAATGTAAACTTTAATACATAGTTTTCACCTCTGGCATAAATAATAAAAAAAGGTTACTAATTAGCTTTAGATTGAAATTATTTCAAAAAAGTATTACCAACAAGTTTTGTAGGTTGGTTTATCAATGTTAGCATGCATTCTATAAATGCAACCAAAATAAAAGTAAGTTGTCTTTATTGAACATTAACTTCATGCATTTCAAGTCAAATTATGTACTTATCTTTTGCCCTGTCTTAAAACAATGTAACTGAGTTTTCAAATTTTTCTAACCTCTTGAAAGAAAATTTCAACTGAATTAAACTAACTGTATACAACTTGTCATGGTATTTTGAATTTAGTGGGTTATTTTTAACATTAATAGTCAAGTTTTATTTAATTGTTAAGTGAAAAATGTAGTTTATTATAAGTTTTAATTTCATTACACTTAGAACATATTCTTATGATGTTTTTAATGTAATTGAATCAGGTGGTTTCTCGTTTGATGATTTTTATCATTTATAACAGTTGTAGGATATTACTTATATTATTTATGTATTTTAAATCTAGTCAATTTAACCATTTAAGGAGAAACATTTTGACATTACAAATGTGATGGACTGTGCTCACTGTTTCTAGGCAAGCTTTGCATAGGCTTATTATTGTACATGCATATCAAATCATGTGAACTAGATAATAATATTAGTTCAGTCTATTCTAAAATACAATAAACAATATTTTTCCAGTGAAAGAATTTAGTTTTGATGGAATAAATGATGATTTGGTATTATCAAGTTAGAGGGTTATTTTATGTATTTAAAACCTCAGTGTCTTTTGATGATATACTGGAAATTGAAGACATCAGAGTTCAATTAAATGTTTGAAGTGTGGTAAAAACCACAAAAATTCAAAAAACATTTTACAAAATACAACAAATCCACTATTTGAAACTGTAACTGCAAACTACCATGAAGCTGTTAGGCTTAACTTTTAGCAAATAACACAACAAACAATAATAAGTACTTTTAAAGAGGAAAAATGTGAGAAGTCATCATGATCCAACACTGATTGTAATTAATTTATTCTTACTGCATGAATACAGTAGTCCCTAATAAACTTTTTTATGATATACATACTTCCCAAAACCAATTAAGTTTAACACACAAACTAAGTTTATTACTTTGAAATAATTGTAATTAAAATAAAACTTAAATAATAGTTTTACCTATACAAGTACTTGTATTAGATTTCAATGCAATCATATTAAATTATGTTTCAATTGAGTATAAAAATCATCTCCATTACTTATAAAAACAATTATTATAAAGTTACAAACAGCATTCAACAAGCAATAAAATAAATGTGATCACATTTAGTATAAGATAGTTAGGATCATGTAATATTATTTAGAGAAAAGTGAACTTACATCCGATCACATTTAGTATAACATAGATAGGATCATGTAATATTATTTAGATAAAAGTGAACTTACATCTGTTTTCAAGTGTCGAAGGTATTCAGCTTTATGACGTAATGGATCAGTAGAGAGTCCCTCGGCAAAAGAAACCAGTCCATGAGGAAAATTATGTTGTGAGAGCCAGGATACCACTCTCTGTTGTTGCATGTCGGGACGGCCAGTAATATAGATAATCAGATATCCCAATTCTTGCCAATGTCTTGGTAAAATGTTAAAAGAAAAAGTGCCTATAGTGAGTTCAAACTATCTCTAAACAATGATTTGATACATCTTTTTGAGTTTTAAAATTTTCTGGCTTAATTTTAGTGTTGTCTTTAGGCTGAAAGTTTAATGAAAAAATTTATGCTATTTTTCTCTTTATTATTATTATTCATCATTAGAATTAATTTCTGATCAAAGCAATTGCTACTTACATAGATCAGAACTAAAAATGAACCCAGTAATGAATATAAATAATACACTATTTTTAACAGTAATGATAAAAATGCACTGATTCATCAGTTTGATAACCTTAGCTGTAAGTGATATTTTTGGCCATAATCCCAATAACATCTCACAAGATTTGGCCAGCTTAGGAGATTAAGGTTAGTTCTAAATTCAGATACTAAGCTAACAATACAAAATAATTCTTAGGCCTGTGTGGTTTTATAAAAATATGCTAAAAACTGTTATTTATCTAAAAAACAAGGCTTTTATAAGCTTTAACCATTCCCACATGATATAGCTGAATTCTAAGCAATATTTTATTATAATTGTTCACTTGTAAAATGTGTTTGCTTGTCTGTCAAAACTCTGCTTATATTTGTTTTGTGTTATTTCTTTCCTTTTTATTTAACAATAGCTGAATTGATTTCCCCAGAATGTAACCCAGGTTTATGCTTTCTCAAATTTTAGGCCTGAAATAATTTGCTCCATAGATGAGCCTGGCTCAAAACAGGTCAAATAATGCTAATCCTAGATTTTGAAGTAGAATAATACCATTTCTTTATATAAATGAACAGAAATAGAACTGGTAATGACAATGTTGAAAAAATATTTGAAAACCTCCTAGAAAATTTCTTGGCCTATAAAGTATTTATGATGACAAATATCAATAGCATATACATTTAGTGGTGCATCGTATTGTTGAATTTATCCATTATTCTAAAAAGTTAAAATACTGAGTCACAATGTTATAACAATATTTTAAAACATGTGGGAAGAAAAATAACCTTTCTAAAAAAGGAAACTTTTATTTTACAAAATCAATGTTTAATTTAACATATCCATTTTATATTAGTTTAAAGTTTGCTTGATTTCACGTTATGTTCTGGTTATATATAATAAGGAGCTTTCTTAAGATTTTCAATATTTTACCTGCACATCAGTTGGTGCAACAAGTAATTTCCATTTATAAAAGTAATCATTAATAAAAGTGGTTAATAATTATTTTAGTTCTAATGATCCCCATCAGTTAACTTTGAACACAACAAAAAAAAATTACAATGATGACTGTTTATCTGACAACAGGACATTCATATATAACATATCTTGAACAGTACTGTATTAATGCATAGGCCACCTAGGCCCGGGCCTAGAGCCCCAGCCATACAGGGGCTCCACCAGCCACTAAAGTAAAAAGTTATAGTTCATAAAACTAGCAGGATAGAGGCAAGTGTGAATTATTATTATGACTCCCCAATATTAACTGGGCCTAGGACCCCCACTAATATTATTATTATCATTATTATTACTTTTATTATTATTATGATTCCCCAATATTACCTGGGCCTAGGACCCCACTAATTCTTAATCTGACCCTAATCTTGAAATGTATTGAAAGTTGGAAATAATCATTCTTTAATTGAATGAACTATATATTTACATCCTGACACTGCTGGGTTTATATTAACTGTCCAAATGATAGAAAGTAGACTTTGAAATAACCTCATGTCTTAAATGCTCTTGTATTCTTTAGTAGTGAATATTTCAAGTCTGATGATCTATTAACGTTTGTTTCATAAAAAGCCACGTAAGGGCTATCTACACTAACCATTCCTAATTTTGGAGGGATAGATTAGAGGGAAATCAACTAGTGAACACCACCAACCACCAGCTCTTGGGCTACTCTTTTTATCAATGAAAAGTGGGATTGACTGTCACATTATAGCACCTCTCATGGCTGAAAGGGTGAGCACGTTTGGGGATAGGTTTGAATCTGTGACCCTCAGATGGAAAGTTAAGTGCCCTAACCATCAGGCCAATCTATTGATGACAAGAAGAGTTTTCTTTAAAGACTGAAAAAGAAATTACCGGACCACGTCCACAGCACCAGCTCGAACCTTAGGATCTCTTCCAGTGACAGACATACTGGCTGTGAAGGAACCATCAATACTAAAGACAATACATTCGGTTTTTGGTGGTACAACTGCCAGGAAAAAGTCAATAGAGGTGTGGTCTCCCCTACACAGATTGCACAGAAATTTGTTAGAAACAGTATACTTTGAAATACATAAATGCTTTAAGGTCATAAATTGAATAAATATAGATAAACCTATCACTTTGTTTATATTTTTCAGTATTGTTGGAAAGCCAAAAAGTTAGATAATTATTCATTTTAACATACCTGTACATTTAGTAATATTGGTTTGAATAACATCTCTATCTAAGCAGCACATGATGCCTTTACTTGTATTACAAATAATGATAACTTATTTGTATTAGATGAACCTTTAAGTGTGAACAGGAAGCTCACCTAACAACCATTTTGATGGGAAACACTCCATAACCCAAAGCTTTTTCTTTAGGAACAGTATAGGAGATTCTACCGTTCTTGTCTGATGACTCTGTCTTCAGGAAAGTCCACTCATATGAATGAGGATCTTTCATAATATGGATGTCAATCTATTCACAAACATTAAAATATTTATAACAAGTCATCATTGGCATACTTACAGCTCCAAATATAGCAAACTTTGTTAGCTTGTTTCTATCATTAATATACCCTATATGAGAAACACGAATCTCACTAACATATTTTAAAGTAATCTAATCTTATTATCATTCATTATTTTTAGCTACTGATTTCTTTATCTTGACTCCAACCATCATTTTAACAGCATTCTTCATAAGTTTCTTATTTACTCTTTTCTTTTTCAGAACAACAGAATGCTTATACCACAATATATTATTTAGCTATAAACTGTTTGATGACACCATTCCATACATACATGACACACTGAAAAAGTTTTGAATATTTAACATCTGTAACTGAGTTATGGTGTGCAGTCTCATATATAACTGAAATGCTGGAAAATAAAACATCACTTTTCTCCCTGGAGGAGAAGAAAATTGTTACAAATGACTTATTGCTGTAGAAGAACTTAAACTATATCTCTCTCAAATATGACTAAACATCTCTTGTCAGTACTTCCTTTTTAAAAGTCAAAAAGAAATCCAGATATTGTAGTGTAACAGAAATAAACACAGAATGACATATTAATAACATTCAAGTCCATATGTCATGCAGGATCAAATGCTTTTCCTACATTCAAAGTAATCACTGTTGTGATGGAAGTTTTGAGAATGAACCCATTAACAATAATCTCATGAAGACTAGTCAAGCTCTCTATAGTTTGATGATCTACAAAGAGGCTGTGTACATTATATTAAAATGATTTTTGCAGCCTTATCACATCACTGAAGTACATTTCGCTACATCTGGTCACACTCTATCTAACAACCATACATCTTAACTATAGCTCTACAGCCTAATTTTCACTACAAAAATCTTGATCATAAGGCTGTCATATCTGAAGCACACCATATGCTTGATTTCCTTTAACCATCTAGTGTATGAGGACGATGGTTTCCCAGTGCCTGTTTCAACAGGTCGATCACAGAAATGTATAAGCACTGTGTCTGGAGACTTGATTGGTATGTCTTCATATGGAATAGTGTAGATAACTATTTCATTCTCTAGCTGTTTGAGGTTGCAATAATTTAACAGAGGTATGATCTATCTTGGTAAACCCATATCCTATTGGCTTCATTTCCACATAGAAATACTTCTTGATTACTATATTCTATTCCTAGATTACTATTGCCTAGGACATATGGACAGGTTTGTCACTGACTTTTTGTTCATGTTTTATTCCTGTTACAAGATGCCACACTCTTCCTACAACAACAGGGGTATGACTTGTTGCAGGTTTGTTTCTGGATGGTCCTGGTGCCCCAATTTGATCTATATCCTTTGTTTTCCAGTGCCATTAAGTACAGATATTCCTGTCCCTGAAGTTCTAAATTCCCAACCTGAACACACTTTTATGATCTGAGTGTGTAAATATTTCGCACTGTTAAAATGTAAAAATGTAGTTCTTCACAAGTTCATTATGATTGTGGTTGACTATCCAAACTGTCATTAATGTAAACATTTGTCTGATGAGTTGGGCCAGATGTTGCTTAAAAGCATTTCCTTAACTTTATGTGAACAATATAAGAACTCGAGTTAAAATATTGTAGCAAGACTGAAGTGCTTTTTTTTTCATTTAGAAGTAACAAAAGTATAACTATTACATACAAACTGACAAATCACATAAGTTACATTTATAAAAAATATTAATGTAATTATTTAGTGTGATATTATGCAACCACAACCATTTTTATCGTTTGCACTAAAATACATTTCACTATGATCAACCAACCTACAAAGACATTTAACACATTTATGTTGCAAACGTCATCTTAACTTTAACTTTTCTCTGGTGTTATATTCCAGATGCAACCCCACAGCCAAAACATATGAAAGACCTGTAGAATGCATTTATATAAAATAAGTATATGCTAGGTAAAGGTACCGTTAAACTCACCATCTTTTTCTGCTTCATGAATTGAGGCTTGGATGTTAAGTGGAAATGAACTTTAGATCAGTATAACATTTATATGCGCACCTACACTGCATATAACTTTGTACTGGTTAACAGTTTAGGACACAAATCCCCAAGAAGTAATGCTCCTAAAAACTCAACCTATATCATGTTGAGTGACAAAAAGATTTATTTTATCCTCAATTTGTTTTTTGTTATCTTCCAAAATGAGCAAAATAAATTTGTTTCTTGTTCTTAACCTATCTTATATATAATGACAGAGATTACAGAATAATTTTTAACAATTAGAAAATTAAAAACAAACAGTAGAAAGATCAGCATTTCAAACTACAATGACCTTTTCTCCAGTTAAGGAAACCATGTCTAATGGACCATACAGGAATTTTGCAATTAAGGTCTGAGGATCCCCTTCCTTAACGATCACATCATTCGCACGATGATTAGCAGTCACATTCTAGAAAAATTATGAATAAAAAAATGTGAATAAACTACAAAACTTTTAAAAGTATACAAGTAAACTGCTGAGAAGTACAGTAAAAGAAACTTAACTATTATTGTGGAAATGATAAAAAGTTTTCATTACGTATAATGATTTTAAGAGAACTAACATAACTCGGAACAAATTATAATACCAGTTACGTACAGACTTGAATGCTTCAAACAATGAGTAGTAACAGATAAATGGTCAATTTATCATGAGTTGTATAATGTTTGTATTTTCATCATGTAGCAGTGACACAGAATCAGCACGTGGGTAAGGTTGAGAGAATTGCATCATTTTCAGCCATCCTGAATCTTACTAGGTTCTTAAATAAGATATTATTCAGATAATTATAATGTACACTTTTCTCTTAATTATTCTATATTGCACAGTACGTGGTGTTTGTATTTATACAGATATCATTTCACCATATTTGATGTTTGCTTAAGGTTACTGTCTTACAGGTAGAATCTCTAACCAAAAATTACTGTTCTTAAACAAATGACATGATGGATAAAATGATACTTGTGCCTGTCAGTACTATGGTTATCATCAAATTTCTATGACTATCAAACAACACTTGTATTGGTCTCCCACCATATTTCACTATAGGTTTTAATTAATATTACTTTTCTTCCATTCTTGCTAATAAGGTTAGAATGCATTGTTTCACCAGTTAAGTACCTTTGCTGTTAACGATATTTTTAACAGTAAACCCACAATATTTCACAAGATTTGGCCAGCTTAGGAGATTTAGGTTAGTCCTGATGCCATATACTAAGTTAATGATGCAAAGAAATCTCTGTAATAAAAGTATAACAATAGAAAATAAAAAATACAAATTTTAACTAATACATACGATTAATAAAAGTAAGACAAAAGACAGGGTACAGTACACTTCACTTATTGAAGACACAAACACTAATTATTAGCTTCAAATACTATTGCAGATTTAATGTTTATTAAATAATGTTGAATGTGATGCTGTTCTCGTCTCTGCCGTTAGATAAACTATCATTAACTGTTGCCATACAATTTGAATTCTGATGCCCATTTCAGCCCCTTTCTTTGGTTATCTCTCCTAAGCAATGCTTTATTTCAGTTTTTTTTTTGAAGGTGCACATCCATTAAGCCACTTTATACTAAAGGGTATCTTACTGTGCTGGAGGTAGCATTCACACCTGTACTTACATCTAGGCCATCTTCAAGATCTATACTGGATTGTTGCACAATGTAAAAAGCATACCCTGAGTTGCTTAATATCACTTTTGAAGAATTTGAGTTTTCTATCTTGATTGCTTCTATTATTAATAATACCCTCTTTCGTTTCCAGACAGCTCCTACTGAAATATGAAGTTTTGCTCAATTTATCATATGAAGTAGCCTTCACCAGCCAAACTTTTGATTTCTACACATTTATCATTTGGCACTTTTATTCTTGGAGCCATAAGGGCATTCACCACACTACTGCTGGGAATAATATGACTACGTGTACTTTTATAGGCATTATGCTGGTGTGGCACTGTCTGAATGAATGGATGACAGCCAATCAAAATATAAGCTGTTGACATATTACTACAATTTGGCAAAGTTTATTTTCATACAATACAGGAAGAACAGTCACATAATATTTGTATTTTATATCCATTCTATTAACTTTTTTAATAAGATTTAGAAAGCATGAAAAAGTTATAGCTTTTAAAGTTCTATACATTTCCCATCTTTAAAACAAAATATAAGAGCCTTTCTTCAGAAACATACATTCAATATTTTTTTGAAATTCTGAAATACATCTTCTGAATAAAATATTACTTTTTTTTCTTACATCAATTTACCAAATATATCCCAGGTATCTGAGAATTCAAGAATAGTTTATTCATAATTATTCTGGTCTTTCATAAAACACTCATATTTCAACTAAAAAAATATTTAGATGTCTTATTTTGTATCACTCTCTTACCATTTTTAATATTTCTTCTTAAAGTTCTTAATAAAAAAATTAGGTTAGTTCAACTGTACTAAAACATCCAATCTTCAGAGTCTAAATCAATTTAAACTCAGACTTAACCAGAATTTTACCTTAATCTTTATGGATGTTCTTTTTCTCAGCCATTTTTCTCGAGGCTGTGAAGGAATGAAGACTGATGCTTCCTTCTCATTTTCTCCTTGAAGTATTAATAGTTCTGATCTTACAACCTTTGAAAACATCCAAAGATAAATATATTTTTGTTGTGGTTTTCAATAAAAAAATTACATATTTCATTTAATATAAAGTGAAAAATGATGGAAAGTTATTTTTGATTTGATTTTATTACACTAACCTATGAGAACCAGTACATGTACAGGATAGTGTTTCTTAAATGAAAGAAATATATTTCTGAGAATATGAAGGGAAGTAACAAGATTGCAGCTAACATCAGAAATATACATACTAACTGATCAGAAACTCTTAACTTTGTCACATATAAGATAGTTGAATACAAGTTAATCGTGTTTTTATTTTCTTTCTCAAACTCACTGGGTCAAGAAATAAGATACATCAATTCTCTTGAAATGTTTTTCTTGCCAGATACCAATAATGAAAATATTAGAATATATATATCTTATTTGGACAACCTTTATATTATGCTAAATGTTACAATTTCAGAATTATTTAATAGCAGACATAAATTTTGTCATACAGAAAAAAAGTATGTGAATACATTTGAATCTACAATAAATCTTATTACTTTAGAATAGCATATAGCATATGTAGAAGGAAATGTTTCACAAAAAAAAACAACATACAAATTTAGAACTATAATTTTAAATACACTGAAAGTCACAAAGAGAAAAGATAGCATATGAAACAGTGATTTTTCTGACCAGTGATCACTAATTTCTGCTACATGTAGTACATAATTTTACATAAATGATATATAGTAAAATATAAATATGCCATTCATTGTAGAGGTTGTCCTGACTATAAAAAATTGCTTTAGTTACTATTTTCTAAGATGCTAGAAAATGTTAAAGGAGCTTTTCAGGTAGAGGGTTAATCAATACTGAGTGTCAGTCATACTTGAAATTAAATCATAAGAGAATAATGTTTATCATAGTATTTTAATTACATAAACAGAATCTGAGGTTATTAAAAATTAATGTTATGACTGGATACATGGTAATGTGTTCTGGCAATAAACATGCCTCAGATGTATTTGAAAAACATACAAATTGTAGATTCTCAAATATCCGTAACCACAATTTAACTTTTCTGATGTTTATTAGTTGCAATGTTCTCATTCTTTTATATTTTTTTAAGTATGAACATTAAAAGAACTTTTGAAAATGCAAACAAGTGTAAAATTGTTTTTATTATCAGGGTGACATTCTTGCCTTCTTAATTTTTTTCATAACTCACTACAATCTATTTTCATTATTGCTATAGAAAAATAGTTTTTATGAATTTGATCACATCTTTCCTTTAATTCTATCGCTACGGACTTTGTCAATTTGACGTAAAAATTTACCCCAAATTGATCTTTATAATTTCCACACTATGACTTCTAATATGTTTTGTGTATGTTCACGAAATTTAGCAAGCTTCCAGTAATCATTAAGGGTCTTGTGTAGACAAGAAATCAGAATTTGCAATAAAGTATATTCACTAAAAATGTTTGCATGAATATATGAATATAAGTGCAAAGTGATTTTCATGTTAAGAGTAAAAATACTTTTCTTCATCTGAAAAATCTCAAATTTCATTTATATAATCTCTAAAATCTCCTAAATAAATTTCAAATATTTTTTTAGTAAAACTTTATATTTTATCTGTTATTTTCTCTACCCTAATTCTATACAAGGTTGGTCAATTTAACTGACCTCTTAACCACCACAAAAAAATTCAAAATAAATCTAAATTACCCTTTTTTTCTTTCTAGAATGACTTGAAACTGTAAAATGAAACTATATTTGTTCATCATAAATAGTTTTAACCTCGTAACAATGTACATCTATTTCTACTTAAATTGAATTACTCTTTGAACTAATGTTCCCATAACACAAGTTGAAAATCTCTTGGTGAACATGTACCTGACATTACCCGACTGAATTACATCTTAACTAAATAATGCACCAAAGAACACAGTATAAAAAGCAGACAATATCTTGTAATTATCACAGTTTTTCTGGCTTTCTACCTATGTGACAAGATATGTTAAAAATTTAGCTAAGCTCTGAATGTGTTTTCTGTGGAAATAAAGTTTGAACTGGAAGCAAAATAGACAATTCTCTGTACAGAAAACAAAATAATATGATATGTCAATTGATAGATTAAAACCTTAGCTTTTTATTGTTATAAATAATATGGTATTAAGTGTAAGAAAGAACTATTGGCAATAAATTTTGTACTTTATGGAAGGGTGGTAAATAGATTAGAGAAGAGGGGACACCTAGAGAGAAAATGTCACAATTCTCATAGTACAAAAAACTGAGGATTTATTAACATATGTTGTATGAGCCAAGTGGAAGTCTTTGCAGTTGATCAAGAAATGCTAACACATTGTGCCTTTTTTTTGTTTTGCAATAACCTTGTGATAATTCTCATTGGCTGAAATGCAGCTATTTGGCACTACTTTTACTGAATTGACGATTCTGTTGACATCCAAGCCAAGAAAAATGTGGTAAGGAATAGTAAGGGAACTCTAATGTAGCAATTAAAATGCAAATTCAAGTATCTGCATTGTGGAATATGCTTCAAATGCAGCCGTTGTGGTTTTTCATGTGATGGATTATCCCCTGTAGTAAAAATATCTCAAAAGTGTGGTGAGAAGAAGTAAATCAAATTCCAGCTATTTTGTGGAGGAATTTACAGTTGATTGAGCATTACATCTACCACACAGTAAAAGTTATAGCCAAAAGTATAGAGATCGATTCAAGGATGATGATGTTGAAATGTTCAAGAAAAGATAAGCAGAATAAAATGGGCCCCAGGAAGAATGCTCGAAGAACTGCGATCTACATATCCTGATGATTTGATCTAACCAACACCATCCAACACAGAGATTTGTTAATGTATCACAGCCCTGACAGGAAAGTGCAAAAAACATGGTACCCTTGAAATTACTTCTTCCAGGGGAATAGAGCAATCTTGCAGAGACACGCTGATGTCCATTGTGTCTGAAATGATCTACACCATTACTCCTAAAAAATGCAGCCCGAGACCTCAAGTTGTGGTATAAAGACGATGTTTGCAACTACAATTTTCTAAGAGATGATCACCTGAAGTCATTAGTTTCTCAAAAGCAATTATAGCAAAAGAAGAAGAGTCAAACAGCTACAATCCTATAGTAATTGTATTACCATGCCTATGGTTTTATTATGCACATCCACTTCAAAACAAAATGACATAACTTTTGCAATATTTATTAAATTTTTGTAAAAAAAAGATAAGAGTTTCCTATTTCAAGATATGTCTAAATACCTGGTTTTCAACAGTTTCCACATTGGAAAACTTTTGGTAACCAACAACCCCATAGTAAAAAGACCTCCCTAAGATCATACGATTCATGTTAATATTGCCTTATAAAATTAAGAACTTAAATCTTATTTAATATTAAAATTTGGACTATTAGTTACATTTTGATGTCAAGTTTATTCGTATACCATGATAATAAAATACATGTACTTTTATTAATTTTTTAATGTAACTCAGTAAAACCTTGTGACATGCACAGAAAAGAATGCCCATAGTGAGAGGATTAACTGAGCCCCTCCCCAAGTCATCAATCAAACCCAAATGAAAAGATGAAGCCAAGGTTATATATACATCTTTACATTTCAACTACTTACTATCATGAGATAGTTGTGAGCATGGACGTGTAAGGAAAAAATAAAAGTGACAAAGTGTAAAAATTTTAGGTGTGAACATCATACTTTTATGTAGGACTGATATAGTCATCTTCAGTTATGTAATAAACTGTAAATTGATGAAAACACTAATCTTGTGATAAAATTTTATAACAAACAAATCAAGAAGTAAAACTGTGTAGTCTAACATGATTTTTTTATCATAAATATTAGGTCTATTGGTTTACAATACTTCTCCAGCTTTTGATGTTCAAAACAGTGGTTTTAAAAATTGTTACTCTAGTGAGGTACTAAATATTATTTTTCATCTGCAAAAATAAAAACCAATCATTTCCAACACATACCTGTCTAAGGATAAAAGCAATGACATCAGTGGATTCCCAGTAACTTGCATGAAAGAGGTGTGGAAGAACATTTGTTGGAAAGTTAGCAAGTCCTTCTGGACAATAAAGAGCAAAGTCCAGCCGTTTTGTTCCCCACCACTTCTGTGTCACTATGTGACATGATAAAACAGCAGTAAATTTAACAGGTTATAAAAAATTATGATAAATAAAAAAAAAGCTTCAAAAAGAAAGAATATTAAAATATTATTATACATTGATGTGGATAACATAAAAATTCAACTGCACTTAATGTGATAGAATTGTATAAAAAAACAGCATGTCATAGTTATCAGTACAGAACTTTAGAATGTAATTCATACCATGCATACAAGAATTTTTAAACATTACCGTATCTTGCAATGAAAAATAAATTTAAACCCTGTTTGTAGTTAAAAGACATGCATGTTAAAGTAATATTATAAATTGATGCATAAAATTATAGTTTTAGTTAAAATGATTAATAAATTTAAAATATAACTTGAAAAATGAACTTGATGAAGAGTCAAAAGGCACAATAAATATGTATCTGAAGAATGAAAATTTGTGTTAAAAATAGATCCAAAGAACAGAGAATGTGAAACAAAGTAAGTTTATACAAGTTTAATATTCTTTAATGTTTGAAAATAGAAAAGACATTATTCTGGATATAGAGGCAATTTTATTGTCTTTAAGAGTCTGTATTATTTTCCACTGAAACTAATAAAAAATTAAAAAATTCTAATTCTAAGCTTTTTTAAATTAATGACCCCATGGTTGTTAGTTAGTTTTACATGATGAAAATTAAGAAGTATAAAATAAAATACTCTAAAATCTTTCTTTTTTTTTTTTCACTTATTAAAATTTCATGTATAATAATTTTGATTTTGACTTTAAACATCAATAAACCATTATTTCTTTTCTGCTCAGACATTTCTAGACATTTTAATAAAAATCTTCTCTAGAAATAAATCTGATCATTACTTAATTGAGACCCCTGCAGTACCAATTGAAAGCCAGTTTAAAAATTTAATTTTGCTTTCAGATATTTTTATATCAGACTTAATAATGAAGCTATGAAATATTTCACGTGGTAAGGATTCTTAGAAATATATTTCATCAATACTTCGATCAAACATGCTACAGAAATTCTGCAGTACGAAAGAACTACGGATGTGGTGTTCATAGCCACTAGTATGGTCAGTTGTAATAGAAAATTAGTTTTTAGACTTCCCTCAATGCTACTTTGAAAATATGTGTTAGAATCGAGAAACTTGGAATAGATATAAGTCTTACATAATGTCACTAGATCCTAAAACTGAATCTAAAATGCAAGACAGGTTTAAAGAAAAAATAGGCTTTCTTAATAACTAATTTTGTTCTCTTTTCTACTGATACAAATGACTGAAGTATATTATTATAACATTTGTACATTTTTAAGTTATCGTAGAATATTCACTTACTTCCAAACTCAAAACTAGAAGGAACATATTCATTAGTAGATAAAAGTTTTTGCTCTTATATACGAAACTTTTAACCGTTAGGAATAATTTAATAAAGTTTTGCTGCCTTACATATGGCCTTTGATTGTTCAATCTGAATTTCTTTCATCTCTTAGATAGGCATGCCAGGAAAAAGGGGACTTCAAAAAAAGAATAAATTTTAGCAAAGAAATAGACATATCAGCAGGTGCTCACATGTAGATATGGTTGCAAGAGGCACTGCTTCACTGATGCCAGACATTGTGCTGGTGATGCTAGCCTCACTGGTTCGCCTACCCATTGTACTATACATACACTGGGAGACAGCGAAGCCACCATCAGTAAACAAGTGAGCGTGACTTTGAATATACTCCACTAGAGAAAAAAAGAGAGAGGCATAGACATAAAAGAAAGGGGAAAAAAAGGGATTAATAACACATATCAACAAGTTTCACATACATGTGTTAACACCAATAGATTCAGTAAACCATTTGATCACTCTGTACTGTTACAACTTATTCTTGAAAGAAAGGCAAAGTAAATTTAAAAGTTAATAGAATGAAATTGTATCCAAATGATAGTATTAATCTTGAACAATCTAAATATTAGTAAAAATGGTCTACTAAATACAAAGAAATAGAAAAAATATATAACAGGCAATTAATATATCTAAATATTGAGTTTGATATAACGATTATAAGCATCCATTGAAAAATAAAATGTATTAGTATTCTAACATTGAGTTTTTTGACACATTGACAATAAAATAGAAATTTATAATTAAATAGAAATCAATATGTTCATCAAGCAATATCAGTACAATATCAACACATAAACTTACTCTATATCTGTAAGCTTCAAAATCTTCCAATAACATATAAAAATTAGATATTGTGATTTGATAAATTCTGATAGTTACATATATTTCAGTAGCACATGCTTTGGAAAAACTTCAATACATATCTTTAAAAGTTTTCTTAAAGAACTTTTTTACCACATTTACAGTTGGTTATTTACGTGGAACAAAATTATATGCATACAAAGAGAATTTCTTCCATTAATATAAGATAAAAATGACATATACATATTATTCAAAGTGAATAGTCGGTTTAAAGAGCTAAACAGTACTTAAGCTTTCAAAAAAACTGAAAATATTATTTAAAGTATTTACAATGAAATCTGGTACCACACATATATGTATATAAAAAGAGACATGAAAGAAATGACAGTTATTTTGGATACGTTAAACAAGAGGTTACTGAAAATATTACTCCAAATAAACAGTACAATTAGATGTAAGTTTGATGCTGAATAAATTTAAAACAAAGTGAAGTATTATTATTATTATTTTAGAAATATCAATAATAGTTACACAGGTGGAATGGTTGACCATCTCCAAGAGGATACTTCTGATATCTTGCAACATTAACTGGTGGTAACTGAGAGAATCTAGCACTCAGGAGAGGCTCAATTCGAACAGCTGAAGGATCAGTTGGATGAAACAGGTTATACACCTGGTTGCAAGATGGTCGAGGAGGTGGAACTGAAGCATTAACATAAAAGAGTTAAAGACCTGAATCAAATATATGACTTCTACTGTAGATGTCTAAACTAAACATTTAGATAATATTCTTCCATAAAGAAATATATTTAACTAATCATAAAAGTTGATTAGCTTTTTACTTGCAGTGTTTAATAATGGTTGGAGATGGCTTGAATAGGCAATGAAGAAAACTTTAATATAAGTTTAACATAACGCCAAATGTACAACATTTCGACAAGGTTTTGTCATCATCAGGTACCTTGTCAAAACACTGTACATTTGCTGTTATGTTAAACTTATATTAAAGTTTTTCTTCATTACCCATTCAAGCCGTCTCCAACCATTATTAGTCTCAAAGTGGGTTCCTTGTCATCGAACATGCAGTGTTTGTACAACGAAAATGTAGGCTAAGAAAATTTTTAATCATCTTTAATAAAGAAACTCTACCCGTGTCCAAAAAATTAGAACTTTATACAATGAATACTTTAAATATTTTTAAATTATATTATATTATATATTATATTATTATTATTATATTATATTTAAATACTATGAATATTTTAAATGATAAAATAAAACATGAAACAGAAATCATTTTATTTTTAATAACATTGAGGGTTGAAAACAAGTTACTTTCATCAGAAATGACTAACGTAATATTAATAATACTTTTTTGTAACATTTCAAACGTTCAATAGCAATCTTTTGTTTTTTGTTTCTGACGTTCATGAAAGTTTGCTTTAACACTTTCAAGAGATGAGCATCTTTGTCTCTGTTTACAAGGATCTTTGTCAAAATATTAATTTTTAGGCTAACTTTTACTTTACATATTCTAAAGCTATATCTCCTTTTGAAAATTGCAAAAGTTTTTGAGACACGGTATACTTTCTCTGTCATCTACACAGTTTTCAGCAGTGGCAGTAAGGAAGGGTTGATTTTTTATTGCTGAAAGTTAAAATTTTCCTAAACTGAAAATGTATTTCTGATAGATACTTACCTCTACTCACAAAAAGCTTTCTTGACTAGCCTGGCAGTATCTGGAATTGTACATAAGGTCTGCAGTAGGAAGAGCCACAAGGTGATAGACATCAAACATGGTCACAAAACATACAGTGACAATTTTAAGATTAAGTATACCCACCTGTTGATGCCACCCAGGGAAGACTGAATAGGGCAGCCAAGGAGAAAATAAGGTGATGGATCTGATGGGAAAAAAAGATGACAAACATCCAGAGAAAGGGAAAAATATGCCAGGCAAATTCACTGGTGAATCCAACCCGTAAGGGGAATGGGAGAAAAGTCACAGGAAAAAGTAGGATTCCAGTGAAGAAACAAATGGACCCAGGAACCACAGAAGGATGCAGTGCATATTATATACCATATAAGGGCCATGATCAAGTAAAATAGTAGGTCAGGATCGTAACAGTCCAAAACATGGGAGATGGAGGGAAGGGTATGAAGAGTAAAATCAGAATTACTCTCCCGAGCAGCAGAAGTCTTGTGCATAAAGTAGCGGTCAGGAACTATGGAACAAAACACTGCAAACCCCAATTGCAAACATTTCAGAAAGATGGTGACCACATGCCAACAATATGAAGAACAGGGTTGGCAAAGAAAAGTCATATAACAAATATGATGACAAACGTTCATATGGAGGTCAAGTAAGAGCATGAAGGACAACAATGAGGATCTATTACTTGAGAGAAGCTGGGTGTGGAGGACGAACAATGGAGAATGAGCAAAATAACATAGACAGTACATGAGATTGGAACACAGAGGCAAATTCAGTAAACTGAAAAATGGAAGACAAAAACACCCTATAACCTCCAACAAAAGAAACCAATAGGTCCACTCATAAAGCCAAGTGAAAAAGCATGGCAATGGAGGAATGGTAGGATGAGAAGGATGACAATCTATGTGTATAAACCAAACAATGTTAAGTATACCACCTACACTAGTAAACTGAGAAAGTGGAAGGATGACATGGATGGGAAACCAAGGAAGATAAATGCTTGGAAAGTCGTGGCCTTCAGGCGAGGGACCAGACAAAAGCCACACATGAAAACAGAGATGATGTGTATGGATGGATGATGCACTCCAGAGTGTGGCTGAGGAAGGTGTGTGGGAAATGAAAGCAGAGACAGGGGAGGCAACACCAAAAGTTGTCACGGAAGTGGAAACCATGTCAGAGCTGGCCAATATGGTGCCACCAGCAGAACTCGACATGGAGTGGTCTGAACTACTGAAAGAACATGAGGAAGAAGATGAAGATGAGGGTAACCATAGAGGTAACAACCTGTTCAATCCTCACTGAGAGCATCCACTGCTCTCACCAATAGATGAGGAACAGGAGACCAAAAATGGGGCAGGTGTGTATCAAAATGAAAGGCAAAAGTGTCCAAAGCAGGGACACCCCAAAGTGCACACAACTCCTGAAAAATGAGAGAATCCAAAGACTAACCTGTCAGTATGGGATAACTGATCTGTGAACAGATCAGGGTACCCATAATAAGACATGCCAACAAAGTGATATTATGGCAGTGGGCCCAATATAGAAGATCCAAAATTTGAAAATAAAGGTCTCTTGATCAGTTGCCCCCATACCTGGTGATAGAGGACACTACTGTGGAATTGTCAGAGTGGATCATCATCACCTGGTCTTGAAGAGCCAGTAAGAAGTTAAGTTCTGCCCGCCGAACAGCAAGAAGGTCCAAGAGATTGATATGGAGAATGGATTCAAAAAGAGTTCCCCCACCCCAAAACCTCCTGAGTGTCAAGAAATACAACCCCAATGGAAAGAGAAGCATCCATAAAAAGGTGACAATCCAGACGAGGAGGAGGAACAGGAAACCCCACAGTAATATTGGTCCAAACTAACCACTAGTCAAACATAGACTGTAAGTGAGGGGAAAAGGTAAGAAGAGCATCTAAGGGAACCCGAACAAGGCATCATTGGTCAATCAAAACCCACTGAAAATGGTGCATGTGGGCATGACCAAGAGGAATGAGGGCTTCGCGAGGCAGAACCTCATGTGCAGAAGGAAAGGGAGAATAGGAGATTTTGCATCTGAGACATTTCATAGCTCTCAACTGAAGAAGAGAAAGCTGGTTCTGACAGAGAAATGAGGTGAAAAACACACCAAAGAAAGTCAGAAACCAAGTATGTTTGAAGAATGACTTCCCCACCCAGGCATCTTTCTGAAGAAGAAACTGAGTATGTACGGCAGAGTTGGCCTGTGAGGAAGCTGGAAGTAGCCAGTCATCCATGTAAAGGTGTAAACAAAGGCCCTGAGAAAAAAGCAGTTGAGAAAAAGTCTAGACCACTAAGCAGAATACATAGGGAGCTGAGGCAAGTCTGAACGGAAAAGCCCAAAACTGAAACACACACCCACAATGTACAAAACAAGAAAAAATGCCTGGATGTGGGGAGATGGGAATATGTAGATATGCATCTGACACATTGAACTACTTCATCCACAAACCAGGAGTGAAAACCCAACAAAGAGTTAAGTATGACTCCATGATGAATTTGAAAATGATGAGGAAGTGGTCCAGAGATAATAAACCAAAAACAAGGTTCCAATCTCCAGTCATTTTGGTAACAACAAAAAAGAGACTAGAAGGATCTCCTCTTCGATGGTACTATTGAAAAGTTCCAAGCCACTTCTGAATGATTTTGACAAGAAACAGGATCCCACTGAGGGAGGAAAGAAATCGGACAGTGAGACAATGGGAACATGAATGGACACGGAGTTATGTAGATGGGCTGAAATAACCCTGGACTCCAAAGAGTTGGGAAAACACCCAAACACCTCTTGATGTACAAATAAAAGATGCCATGTGCAATTCATGCAATAACGAGGAGGGTAAATGAACTCTAAGTAAGACAGTATCCCAACCTAGAAGAACCCAACAGCAGAGCAGCCCCGCCTGTTAAATGAGGGGCAAAGAGGAAAGCCATACTATGAGAGCAAAAATAAAAAAAAATAGACTAGATGCTATCCTAGGGGATTAATCTTTGGGTTGTTCTTTAGTTTTCTCTCCTTACCCAGATATTGGAGTTCTTGTTTATCATTTTGGGGAACATTTGCTTTAAGGGGATTGATACACATTGTCCCTTACATGCAGTGGCCTATCATGTTTTCACTTTTATAGTTCCAACTACCCAAAATTAAACTTATACCTATTGTAATTGTTGTTCCTATGTGGGGTTTGGACCTTGATACTTTGATCCATTTTCCCTACCACCCTTTTCCCGGATACTTCTTACGATATTCACTATTATCTGTGCATTATCTTCCCTTCACTTTTTGGTTGAGGCTATTCATCTATCTCATTAAGAATTTTCTGTTGATCATGGGGTAGAATCTTAAAGGAAAACAGGAAACAAAGACAAAATACAACATACCTGATTTATCAAGTCTATAAAGGGAGAAGGAGGCTGCCCAAAGTCACATCCACCCATACAGACAAAACTAGACACTAGTATGATAGGACACTTATAAAGTTATTCATAATGTCGCCTGAAATTATACAATACTCTAAAGGATCATGGCCGTCACATCAGTGGCCAATAACTGTGGTACTGTAGCATTAAAAGCAGAACAAAAAGTAGAAAAAGGAGAGTAGATAATGAAAATAAATCATGATTCTCCATAAAAAAAATGGACAATAACTGAAGTAGAAAAATACATGGAAGTAAAAATGCATGGATATAATAACTAAGTCGCAAGTGAAAACAAACGCGTTTGCACAGTAAGACTGCCAATCGAGAAATGATTAACAAGTGCATGATTAAAAGGGTGCTAGTGTTGCACTCCTATTGGTGGAGGGTTGCTACATGATCACTTACATGTTGATATGCAGAAAGAGATGGGAGTTTCAAGTCTAGTGATGAGCAAAAACTTTGCACCGATAGAGAGCAGTACTAGCCAAGAAAGCTTTCTGTGAGAGAGGGCGAGATATTGTATCAGAATATTTTATTTAAGTGCTTCTTCCAGTATCATGTATACAATATATAACAGTGTTTTCACAGATATAGCCTGTGGTAAACATTAAAGGGTGTATTCATTTATAGTTTATGAGGGCCTTGTATCATATCTGTATCAAATCTTCAGATTTGTTTTTTACTTCTTTTCAAATAAAGCACACATGCAAATCAGCACTAGTTTAATCCCTTTCATCTATAATTCTCTTGAAGATAAAATTATCTTTCTTTTTGTTTTTGACTTTATAATCTAGCTCTATTTTTTCTTTGATTTTTGGCTGTAAAATCACTTATTATTTTTCTGGGATGGATACCAGGTTGGTTAGTGAGAGGAAGGAGAAAGCATGTACTGAAAAATAAAGAGCAATATGATTTCCTTAATACTTCACTTTTAGGAATGGAAAGCTTTTGTTTTTTCTTCTTTAACAAATAAAATACATAATTCCTGGGTAAATGGAATTAAGATACTACAGAAAATCTTCTACTTCCATTTCTTGCCAAACAGGTGACATCTCCTTGCTTTCTTTTTTTTCACTAAGAGCTTTTACATTTGTTGAATAATAAAGCAATACTTACAAATGCCTACATATGTATATGTTAGTCACATGAAAGAAAACTTACTGATACCCATACTTTCATAACAATGTATATGTACAGACAAAAATTTCCAAAATAATGCCTTCTAAAAACATATAAAACTTATCCAGATGTCATATTATTACATCACTATACAGGGATCAAAATATTACATTCCTACATTCCCAAGGAATTAAACTTTGCTTGAGGAATTTCATCTTATTAGTTGGCTTTCCCAATCAGGACTGCATGTTCCATCCCTATTCCTTTAGTTATGACCAATGAAGGCGAACATATTGCATGGATTAAATAAAAAAAAACAATTCATGAGGAAATGCAACTTTACATGAAGGAATGTAATATTTCTGATAGCTTTCCTTCGAGTGAGTGTAATTTTATTTCATTATTTCTATCCCTGCTATAGCTAGGCTGATAAGAGCTGATTTAACTTCAAGTTGCAGTACTCAGGTTGTGATGACAGTATGCAATTTCTTATCCAACCGAAACAAGTGTGTTTCATATTTAAATTATAAAAGTCAAACTATGTTCAAAAAGAGGGAATAGTGTTTCAAGACAGAAGGATGTCCTCTTTTTTTTTAGGCTATTATTCTCTTATAGCATCCTCTGAATAATTCTAAAGCTTCCTTTAAGGAATGCTTGTATGTAGAGACATAATTTCTACAAAAACTACAAACTACAATTGTATAAAAACTACAATTTCTTTGTTACTGAGAGTGACATCTTTTGCTCCTGTGATGTAACCTTACCATCACAGCTGACACTATAAAAACTGGTGTTCCTGAATGGGTTTAATACATCAACAGATCACTGCAAATATAATGGATAGTTTAGCTTTTTGAGTTTAGTATCCATATATTCTGGCACCATGTTTGATTTCTTTTTTATTTATTTTCTGCGTTAAGCAATATAATTAGTTTTATAATAGTTGCAGGAGATGGGTGAGAACTAAAAAGTTTTGCAAGCATTGCTTTATTTAAATAGTTTTCCATTTTCTTGGTTAGTCTTTATCAATTGGAAGTATGATGAGGGTTTGTCATTCATCAGTATGCTAACATCTTCAATAGTATCATAACTGAAGTTTGAAGGTAGTTATTTTAAATTTCGAATTATTATATTTGTCACTGGGATCCCAGCATCATCTGTGTCTTTTGAACGTAATTTTTAACTGACGATTATACATTGCCAACCATGTCTTCTACTGAGAAATATTTTGGAACTGGACTAAAATTTCAACCTAAAAGCTTCTTTTTAAAATTTTGATAGAAATCTGCTTCCCACTGACATTATCTTGTACATACAACAACTGCTGTGGTGTGAACACCTTTTCTAAGCTAGCAGTGCTTTGTCATAATTAATATACTTGTCATAATACATTAGTATTAGGCCTATTGTATTTTTAACACTACATTCTTTATTCAGTCCCTTTGGGTTTTTCAAGAAGAAAAAGAGTGTATAATACTATTTCAAACATACAGTGTTTGCCATATCCATTGACAATCATGTTTCACTGAATACAGAGCTTATCAGACTGGCTGGGATACAACAAACACAGTAGATCAGAACACTATTTATATAAGCCATTTGTTACAACAACAATTGTTATAGTGTGAATGCCTTTTACAAGTTTTTGAAGAACTATTACAATTAACTATACTTGCCATAAGACATTATTATTAGGCCTATTATTGTTATAACACTACATTCTTTATTTGGTTCCTTAGGATATTTCCAGAAAAAGAAGAGTATAGAATAGTATTTCCACCACACTATGTCTGCCATAATCATGACTAACTATAATGTCTTTTACATAATTATATTTTTAAACTGTTTATATTCAATTCTTAGAACCACACATAGTTTTATTTGAAATTATTTTTGACTTTTGTCTGAAATTATCCTAAGTAATATGTTATATGAACTAACCATGAAAGTGCTTGGAGCGTTAGAAAATTTTTTAACTCGTCAGAAAATGTCACTGTTTTAAACGGAATTTGAATTAGGTTTTTGTATCTCTTAAGTATTTCTTCCTTCAGATATGTCTGAGGTGAAAATCTGAAATGATAAGGTAGGGTGTAAGGTTTTTTTGAATCAGCATAAGTAATCTATATGAGACCTAGTTCTTGCATAACCTATAATGATAATTTCATAATGATTACTTGCTTAATATGTTTATGGCTGTATCTGTTTAAGGGTAGTGAATGTTCACATGATCAAAATGTTTACTTCTAATAAAGGGTTTAAAATCATTGGTGTGGGTAGCATATCTCATTTAAAAATTCATTACCACTTGACTATTAAAGATACTTATTGATACTTTTGTGCTGATAGTTACTTATTGTATTGTTATGATAGTGTTCTTTGCATAGACTTAACTAAATTACATACAACAAAAAATTAATTATAGGTACATTCACTAAATTTAGGCAAAATTTCATAAAACACCAAAGGTTTCAATATTATAAATTATGCACTATTATTTTTTTAAAAAGGTTTGTTCAAACATTACTACTTCTTTTGAACCTACTATTTTTGTCATCTAATGATAGCATCTTTCTGTAAGCCATCACCATCCCTAAAGGACAGCCAAACATGAAGAAATCACAAACTTCGAAATCCAGCTTGTTATGAGTGCTATAATCACTACAAGCAGAGCTGCAACGACGAGGTAGAGGAGCTGAGAGAAGTCTGGTATAGCTAAGGAAGAGTCAAAACAAGTTTATTCAATAAAAATAACAGACTGTTTATAGCAGTACTTTATTTGAATGAAACTGACTTGAGGGAATAAAACCACGAAGAAAATAAGAAGGCATCTATAAAAGAATATTTTAATTTTTCACATTAGATCTATATCCTTAGATGAAGTTGAAAAATTAGCTGTTAAGCAATTCAACTATTTTAATGGCTAGAATGTAGCAATACTAAATAGCTCCGTTTATTATTGACACCGACTGTTATTAAATTCACTTGAGAAGAGAATAATATGTGAATGAAAAACTATCATATGTTTTGAACAGCTTCAAAGATTTAACATGATTATTTTATTTCATTTAAGTTTCAGAAAAAGTTTGCAAACACATTTTTTTTATAGTGAAAAAGTGATGAAAAGGTTTTAAAATGTAAAAATAAAGAAATGATTAAACACAAATTATTCAAAATCTGGAATTTCTTTTTTGTGTCTCATAGTAATTGAGTTTCTATTACACAATTAAAAGGAATAAAAATGGACCTATATAGGAAAACTACAAACATCAGCCAATTTAAATTAATAATAGACTTCAAGGCAAGGAACAATAATGGATTAAGCATAACCTAATGTCATGATAATGATATGGGAATTTCTTTATGTCTTAACCCTTATATATTTCATCAGCTACTAGGTATCACACTTTTCTCTACATAATAATAATTACATAATTATTACTTAATTCCTTAGTTTTTCCAACATATGGATCTATAAAGAGTTAAATGTCACAGTTTGGCTGCCATATTATTAACACTGATTAAACAAAGTGTGTGAGCTATTAACATTATTTTCACAGAAATATATATGAGATATATTTAATTATTTTTCAACATTTTCCAATGTTAAAAGTTATCTTCTGGACTCATTTAACAATGATCGAACATTCTATTGTAAACTAAATAATTAGTTCTTACACTGCATTATAGATAAAAGGCATTTATAAAGACATGAAACAATGGGTGGGGAGCCCACCAAAGATTATGAAAACTTTGTATATATAAAAAAAATATTGATGTAAAAGAAAATGGTAAAATAAGACAGGAACTGAATGCATGTGAACAACGTGTTAACATAAATAGTAATAGATCATTCACCATTATAAAAAAATGACACAATGTATTATATACACAATAACTGAGAAAACATTTATAATATGTTCAAGTTATATTGTAAACTTATAAAAAGAAGTTGATTACAAAGAGAGAAGTTGAAAACTTGCTTAGTAAACACTAAAGTTAAAAATACAAATCTGATTGAGTTATTGTTCATTTTTAGCATTAATCTACCCATGTTAAAAACTTAAAACAGAAAATTTGCTAATTTTTGAGAAAGACATCTTCTAAACGTTTTCAAGTGAAATCTTGATTTTGTAGTTAGCTCTAGAGAAAGAAAACAGTTCAGTAATCACTGTCAAAGGCTTAGCTTTCTTGCTGTTGTTGAGACATGTTTCATATTAAGTTTCTCAAATGTGTTTTTAAGTTGCAAGAGGAGAAACATAATTCCCAAAATTGAAAATGATAAAGGTCTATAAAGTTTGATAGGTCAAAAAAGATTGAAAGGCAGAAGTTCTGCCATTGGGCAGGAATGGGTTAGAAAAATCAACTTAAAAAAATATCAATGAAACCTACTTTGAGCAAAAAAACACGTATGAGAAGTTTCAACTAATAGTAACTGTAACCACTAAATAAATTATCATATCACATACCCTTTGAAAATATTCTTTAACATTAGATAATTATGTGATGAAATGAAGGGCTACAGAATTGAGAAAAGAAATGAAATTCTTATACATATATGCAACAGTGGAAGAAGGGTATGCAGAGCCAAAGGAAAAATTTACTCCTGGGCCTTTCACACCTTTGCTATGCTACTGCAATTTTATGAACAAAACTCAAACAACATGTAACTGTTGACAATCATCAGGTAACTTACGAGACAGCATCATAGAAAGTTGAATCGGCATCTTGAGGGTGAGAATAAGATTTCCTGTAAGCTCTGGCACTGCTTGTTGCAAAAGCTGTTTCCCTGCTCCTTGTTACCTCAGTAACATCCTCCCCATCTTCATTACCACTGCCATCACCGATAGAAATTGAAGGATTAGGCCTATTACTAATGTAGCTGGGGCTTTGAGGTCTATAACGGACTTCTATACTTTTGGGGTGAGTGGGTTCTACTTCAGCAATACTACTTTCACTTCCATAGCGACTATTTAGCTGTGATGTTCGGCATAAAGCATCATAGGCTAACACTGCTCCCATACTATCTCCAATGACAAATACCTAGAGAAAGCACACACAAAAAAACATAATCTATCTGTATAAAATAAATACTAAATAGGTTATTTTTATTAACTCAATTTGCAAATATTAACTCCAGCAAAACCTTTTGAAAGTCTAATCTTGTTTATACTCTAACCTAAAAAAATAAAAATATTTATTTATTTATTTGTAGGATACAAAAAATATAAATAACTAAAATCATTTACTGCAGCTAACAACAGAAGTACAAGTTTGAGTTACTTTGTATTTATGTACTGTATTTAAAATATAAATATTTTCATACAAATATATAGTACACACAAGTAAATCTGAATACATATAAAGAAGGTAAAATTTATAATAAGGCGCATCTTATTTAACTGTATCTGTTTACAGAATATAATAATATTCTATTGGGACACTGTGTAATTATTAGACTTACAGTTTATTTTAGGATGCTTCACAAAATACAAAAGAACATACACTAATATGTTAAATATCAGATATATTTATAAAACTTGATTTAATCTGCTAGCTGCTAAAAACCACATATATAGAGAGAGAAGCACACAACATGTGAAATGAATTTACTACTTGTGTAGTAGAATCCTAGCACATTATATGAACACAGGTAGATAAGTAAACAATTAATCATGAGATACTTGTGTCCAATGGAATTATGCTATAGTCACAAAAATTAATTTACTGGGAGAAAATGTACAGTGTACTATGGAATTGAGCAACACTGATGAAAAAAAAGCTACAAAAAAACAGATTTCAATGTGATTAATGATATGGAAAAGTAGGTGCCAAAAAACAAATGAAAAAAACAACAACAGCATAACAGAAATAAGGATAGTCCACTAACTAAGCTCTATGATGAATCATCTAATTCAGTGAGAAATTGCACAAATACTACAAACCATCCCTTCAACATATGACCTCAAACACAACCTCAAAGTACAATTCACAGTTTAAACAATTCTAGAATCTTGATAAAAAATAACCTACATCATAATTGATTGTGTAAAGCAATAAAAAAAATTCAAATTCTTATCTCAGTTTCTATCATATCTTTTCATCTATAAGTAATTTAAACCAGCAAATAAAACTTTTTAAGTTCTGCAGCTTTGGTTTTTTAGCCAAAGATAAAGGATAATAAAATATAAACATTCTTGACTGTACAGAAAAATATAAGTATACTACAAAACAGCAATTTTTCCCTGGCTATCATTTAAGCTACATGTTAAAAACTTACTTGACCAGAAAAACCACTGCCTTCTTCAGATTTCAGAAATTCATGGTATGTCTGGTTGGCTGTAGCAATTGCTCGTGAAACATTCTCTTGATAATCAGGAGATGAGGTGGCAAAAAGTGGCAAAGAGCCAAGAGGAATTGCATCATAAGTATGTGAAATGCCATCAATGGCAGATGGAGAAGACTGGAAACTATATGGGCTTAGGCTAAAACAAGATTGATAAAATTGTATTGAATAATATAGAGATTCAAATACAGTGGTTAAAAAATGAAAGAATCATTATGCTACTAGGCAATTAATAGAAAACAAGATATATAAATTTTCCCATACAAAACCATATCTATTAGCAGGTACACCAGATATATATTCTTTTCTATTACTAAAAAATAATGTTATACCAGACTAACAGAAACCATACATCAGGTTTTGATTATCTAATTCCATATAAACTAATGGAAAAACTTTAAGATTCACATTATTCCACCAATTTTTCAGGCTATAAATCAGTAAGAGAGCAAAGTATTTTTTTTTAAATGAATCCGTTCAAGAAAAAAAAATAAAATTACATTTAAGACTTTTATATACTTAGTGTAACAATGCTGAGCTATACACTTACCTGGACAAAACTGCTAAGGCTTCTGAACACACTGCAGGACAAGACACCAAGCGAATTACTATGTGGTTTATTAAGGTGGGATAGTGTTGACGTATCAGGCTTTCAAAGGTGCTGCGGAAGGTGCTAATGTCAGATTTTTTAGAGCTCAAGTCAGTACCAGTGTCTAGAACACTGCCAGAATGAAATACCATTATCAGTGCAGTAGTGGGACAAACTTGATGGACGGGTGAAGTAAAGGGGCTTGAGGGCACATAGGTATCCAGACTTCCACTTGAGGCTACTGCTGACAGGCCCAATGGGCGGACTTGGCCAATTTGTCCATTTTGTACTTTTTTAATGAAGGTAGATGAAAAAATGCTGTCTGCTAGAGCAAGGTTGGGTTGGGTTTTATGGACAAAGGTGTGGATTAAAGAAATAGAAAAATATGATAATGGGAATTAGCAGAAAGGGTGGTAATGGAGGGGAAAAAAATATGGAAGACCTCATAAATTTTTGAGCTTAAAAACAATTTAATATTATAAATAAGTTCTTAAAACCACAACCTTAAGTTTTCAAAATATTGGTAACAATAAAGATACAAAAACAATTTTAAACCTAATTTAGCAACCTGGTGAAAATACAGTTAACTACAGATTAATGAAAACAAAATATTACAAATATATGTTGTAAGTTACTTCAGTAATATTGTTTTAAAATTTACTTACACATACAAAAACATATTTCAATGATGTACTAGTGCTAAAATAAATAAAGCTGCACTAGTAAAGAAAAAAAAAGCCTTAACTCCTTAAACCCAAGTGGATGCTGCCAGCATCTGGCCAAAAAATCCCGATCTACCCATCAGACAGTGATAGCTTCTAATAACATTTATGTCTCTTTGGCTGAAAAGTTATACAAACCATGTTATTATTCACAAAATTATGAAAATTGAAATTTTATAAAGTATGGTGATAATTATTAGGAAATCATGAAAATAATTCTGGCAGAATGCACAAAAAATTATGGGTTTAAAAGAGTTAAATCAACTGATAAATCTGTTAAAGAAATGAATACTTTCTACTGTAAACAGAAAATATACTTGATAATTTGCAAATATCTAAATCAAATTTCTTACTAAAAATGAAATATATCAGTATTAACAAATTTTTGCTGAACTTAATTACATTTACAGTAAAAGTTTTATTACTCGGTTTTGTAAATATATTTTTTTATATTTTGTTTTTGAAGAACAAAGTCGAATTTCTACACATAAATTAAGAAATATGAATAACAGAAATTAATTATCAAATAAAGTGATTCTGAAAAAAGTCTAAATGTTTTTCATGTTTGTTTGTTTGAAGTTAAACACAAAGCTACATAATGGGCTATCTGTGCTCTGCCCACCATGGGTATCGAAACCCGGTTTCTAGCGTTGAAGTCTGCTGACACACCGTTGTGCCACTGGGGGGCGTTTTTCATGCTAAAAAGTCTAGTTAACATGTACTTTTAGTACTTTATATTTGTATTTTGCATAATGCCAAGATGTTTCTTCTTTTCTACAATTATTTCATCTAAATATATGGTTTCCATATCAAACCTTCAGTTCATGCCAAAACAATTATTGTAACTGCAAATTATTTTTCTATAAAAATCACTTGCAATTTCTACAGTGCCAAAATGTTTACTTTATGCATTTAAAAGGACAAAATTTAAAAGCTTAGTTGTAATAAAGACTTTACTGAGTAATAATATCAATTTTCAATTAGTAGACTGGAAACAGTTATTCCAGGTATTCAAAAATTGCAATGTATTAGAAATATTTTAAAATATTTATTACTTATTATAGCAATTAGTTTTATCCAATAACTACACTTAGAAAATAAAAAATTGTTACTTTCCAATAATGATGATCTTCATTATTTTGCTGTATACTTACCTTTATAGAATGCCCTTCCCCCCTCAAAAAAATGTTCTACATATATTAAATGTAAAAAAAAAAGACTTTAAAAAATCCAACAAATCACTCATACATCAATGTTTTTGACTTTATTAATTTATTAGTATCATACTTATGAAGTTAGAATGCTAACAGTTATTACTGGCTAGCTAAGCCTTTTCTTTTACACACTTTAATGTTAAATAACTTTTCCAACCAATTTTGTTCATAAATTAATCAATACTACAAGACTCATGTTTACGATAAATTACCTTTATGACACGAAACAACAAATGCATGTGATTAACTTCTACTATTGTGAATTTTACTTTACCAAAAACACTACATAAAGGCATGGTGACAGCTGCTTATAGGTTTTTTTCCTTCTTTCTTAAAAGTCGTGAAATTGAGTGATGATACATTAACAACAGGCTTTGGATTCCTTATGGTAAAAATCTTGTAGTTAAAAAGTCCTGTGTCACTCCTAGTCTGAACAGCAGTGCAAGAGGGTTTTGTTTGGGGTTTGTTATTGGTAAACCTAGCTGTGCAAAATGTACCTAATTTTGAATGTGTTTGTAGTATACATGGATCAAATCTTTTAAAATGAAACATAGGACATTTTAGGTTAATCTTAAAATGGCAACAGTTAGGATAACCAGATGAAACCTGAAAACCCACAGTGATCAGAGTTTTTGTCAACTGAAGACACCTCAGTTCCTCTACTTTATTACCACTGTGGTGATGACAGCAATTGCTGCAGTGTACTTTTTTATGTCTTCTCTTTCTTTTATGGGGAAAGATGTGCCTACCATCACAGATATTCACTGTCTCTTCTGAATCCTTTCCTTCTTCACTAGAGAGCATCTCCAGTGAGCTCCACTTTGCCAGACTAACAACTTGTGATTGATCTATTCAGAAGGAAAATAAGTAAGAATTTAAAAATGCAAGATAATTAAAATATGTAGTTACATTAATGTAACACCTGGTTCCTATTTTAAGAGGTCTCAATGTTTTATTAAAAGATAACATATTACTCAGTGGATAATATTTTGTAAACTTATTTTTAATATTTTGTTTTTGAAGAACAAAGTCGAATTTCTATAAAAAATTAAGAAATATGAATAATAGAAATTAGTTATTAAATAAAGTAATTATGAAACTCTTATATTGAGCTTACTTACTGATTATGTATTATTTTACTACAGGTTACAGCTTTTACTGTAAGGTAGATTTGTTTTTAGAACAGGTACAACATTTTGATTCCCGGTGTGATCATTCTCAAGTACACAAGAATGATCGCATCGGGGATCAAAACGTTGTACCTGCTCTACAAACAAATCTTCCTTATTGTAAAAGCTGTAACTTGTAATAAAATAATATAATAATTCTGTTTTCATTTTCAAAAAAAAGTGTTTAAATTCTAATTTTAAACATTTATAAAAGATCTTAGAATGAAAATTTTATAACAAAATAAAAAATATTGCATAAACAAGAAATTCCTATTAGCTTCATACCCTCAGCATCAAAGAATTCATCCTCAGAGCTTGAGCCTGAATCCCTTACAATACTCTCCATCCTCCAGTTTGCCATCTGAATGTCAAAGCTTTTTATTGAGCTGCCATCTGTATGAATATATAGGAAAATTTACTTACACATATCATAAATCACCCATATCTATTTCATCAATTATAGAAGCTTTTGTAGTCCAAAAAATTTGAGTCTTAGGTAAAAATAAGCTGACTGTTATAAAACCTAAAGTTCTAATCCACAAAAATAAACAATAGATAAAAGAAATTCAAATATTCTGTTTGATAAAATAGTCTTAAACTCTGAATTAAAGCAATGAGTAAAAAATTTAGAAACAAAAACACGAAAAAACTTAATGTTAGAAATTACTTCATATAATATACCACACTCATCTAAATATTTATTTTATTGTTTAATCTGTATAAAGAGCATGATGCAAGAGTTCAAGAAACTTTAATCTAAAGCAAAGTTCAGTAATGTTTTTAACCTAGTTCTACCAAATACAAAAATTACAACTAAATCATAGAAGGATTTAATCTTTCTTATAATTAAAAACTAAACACTAATCTTCAAGTACTTACTGGTTATGATTTTTTGAAGTAACCTACCATTTAGGTTCTCCAACTGATGGGGGAGTACAATAAAGTTAGGTCAATTAGTCACTATAAATAATACAACCTATATTTAAGCTAATTAACTGCATAAAGATTTCAATATTAAAATAGCAAATGAAATGAGAAGAAATACTAGCTAGAAGGCTACCATAACCAATTTCAAAAAGAAGTAAAAAAAAACTAATGATTATTTTTCAGCACACCAAATTTTAATGATTTACATGTTAGTGGAGTCCTGTTGCAGCATATTGGCCAGTACACAGTAAAGGTAGCCTGGTGCTATCCCTAATTCCAAACCAGACTACAAGGAAACATCCAGCCAACAGAAAACATTTAAATTTAAAGGAAAGGTAATTTTCAATTTAATATTAAATTAACAGTAAAACTTTATCAGATAAAGGGCTGATTCTGCTGAACAAATACCATTCATGTAAAGGTAGCAATAAATGTCCTGAAAAAGCAAATAAAAACAAACTAATTGCTGTGTCTGACAGTCAATAGCAATTCTGGTTTTAGCATTATTTGAAATGAAGTTTTACTATAATACACTCTCAACTAACCTGGTGAATGAAGGGCTGACTTTGAGCTACTTCTAGACCAATTTTTTTTTCTACTATTTTCTGTTATGTATGTTTCTTTTGAGGTGGGCACTTCCTGAGAAGCCAGGAAAGAAGGTCTTTTGTGGGGAGAAGGGCTCCTGTTTCTTGAAGGACAAGTTCTCAAGTCCTGGTTCACACCAATGTCCTTGTCCTTGTCAATAACATTTAAATCTACTTCTTGTCCAGAAAGGCTAGAAGGACTGGTATGCAGAGCATTCTCTGGCTTTGATGTATCCCCATTATCTTCTCCTACAGATTCACCTGAAGCTGATGACATGGCCTTGGCAAGGAGTTCTTGTGTTTCTTTCTCCATTTGACGAATATCTTCCATTGTCAAATTTACCCACTCATCTTGCCACACCCATGCCTGCTTGTGTGCCCTTACCATTGTTTTTCTCAGAGCTACAATACAGGAAGCATGCTTTCAATCACAAACAAACAAGTAACAAAGAAAATCTAGATAAAAAGACATTAAAAATACTAAAACAATTTTGTACTATTAACTAATTCTTAATAGTTCGTAACCATAAAATCTAAACGACTTAAAGGTTCAACTGTTATTAAAACATGATGCACAAAATCTTATACCTGTAAAATCAAATATTCAGTTCTGTAAATATTACCTCAAGAACTTTTGAAAACAATATTAATCTTAATTTTCAAAGTTTTTAAATATTCATTGTGCAATCACTCAAATGTATTATTTCATTTTAACATATTCTGTTTGTTTAGTTATGAAAAAGCTATTAAGGCTATTTGCTGCTGTTTCTAATTTTCAACTGTCCACCAGAGGGATGGCAATTGATCAACAGCACCTATCACCAACTTTTAGGCTACTCTTTTTTATGAACAAACAGTTGAAATGTCTGTCACATTACAACACCCCCATGGCCAATAAGACATGTTTGGTGCTGGGTTTCACTCTCACAATCTGCAGATTAAGGCATGTTTGGTGCTGGGTTTCACTCTCACAATCTGCAGATTAAGACATGTTTGGTGCTGGGTTTCACTCTCACAATCTGCAGATTAAGGCATGTTTGGTGATGAGTTTCACTCTCACAATCTGCAGATTAAGTCATGCCAGAACAATATATTATGTCCCAATATATTAAACATTAATTACAAAAACAGTACTGTTTCTATGCCATACAAAAATATTAAGTATTTTAATTAAAGAGTTTTCACAATGATTTAAAGGGTATTCATGCAGACTCTCTCTGTAAGATTTCATCTCTTTTATTTCTGACAATTCTTTTCCTAATTGATGCACATATGGATTATAAAAAAATTGCCTATAGTAGTAGTCATCTAGTACATTTAAGAAAACTTATAAACAGAAGACTACATTTTTTTAGTCATTTTCTAGGTGAATTTAGATTTAATGATTCTAGATTTATGTTACCACACAGTTAACTACTTAATAGTAAAAAGAAACACAGGTTTACTTTGCTTAAAATGGCAAAAGCTTAAACAAAGATTCTACTGTAGAAATTCTCATGTAATATCTAACAATCACACACAGCTTTAAAAGAAAATTTTTTAAATTTTATGAAAATTAGTTTTTAACAGTTTTTTTAAATGACTGTATTCTATATTTAGCACAATTATGTCAACATAAATATTTAGATACACTGAAAACAATACAGTCTCAGTATACAAGTGCTAACAGTGGGGCAATATATATATATATATAAAATGGACTTTTAAAATCTCTTCTGTCAAACTATTGTCTTGTACAAGGTAAAGAAAAATTTTAAATTACAATCTTACTTCATTTAATAACAGCCAATGGAAAAACTTAACTATTTATACAGTCAAATATTTAAAGAAAAATAACTACTTACCTACATCATGAATAAACTTTTCAATCTTGCTTTGCATTCCCCAGTACCTGAACTCAACCCGACATAATTTATATGCACACATGATGGCCTTCCCATCTGAAAGGGGAGTTTCTTTACCATTACAGGCTTCCCAGTATTCACTGACCCAATTTTCTGTGAGAGGACCCCGTCCTGTACATTGGGATACATAGTACTTGGGATCTTCTTCTCGTTTATAGTCAGATCCATGAAGTTGATCCTTCACAACATCAATGTAATCTGAAAATTAAACATGAAGTTGTCAAATGATACACAGTTATTGAGAACAGATGTTAAGTTTGTAATTCTTGCAATTGAAAAATAAAAATAAATGGTTTACCACCATGACTACTATTCAAAAAGAATGTTAATTTTCATGCATTAATATATAGATGCATAAAATAATTGTGTGCACTAGCTAAATGTCTAACATTTTTATTGTAACTGTGTTAACTTATTACATTATATTTAATTAAGCAAACCATATTTAAAGATTTTAAAAACAGGTCTTGGCTTAAAATAATATAACCAAGTCAGTAATGCCACTGATTCAGATTTATTACAAATTTAAATTAAGTTACTGTAAAGATTAAATACATTCATCAATGTATACCTAAAAAAATTATCATTTGGGGGTATTACCATATTCAATTAGTTTGAGATATATCCAAAAATACTGAAGAATCTATTATCAAATACTGAAAAACAAGTGGAGAGAGAAATTGGTCTGTTATATTATAAAATTTGTATTGTTAATGCACATGGTATAAGTTAAATGAATGCTAAACAGCATACAGAGCAACCACAAAAAAAGACATTTATATTGATCATCATAGTGGTACATTAATGAAATTAAATTAAGTTATCCATTGAAACATCATAAAAAAAAAGAATAAAGAAATGCAATGATTTGTTAATCTATTCAATTTTAATTTCTCAAATAGAAAAAAACTATGTAGAATATTTTTAACCATATTTGTAATGAACCAATCACAATACACACAATTTCTGTACTTTAAGAATATCTTAGTCAGTAGTGTAGAAAGAATCTTAACATACTAAGTGGTTTATAGGTTATTTAGATTTGTATTCTACTATATTTCATAAATACTTTATTTGATTCATTTGCAATAACAGTCATGTTTCTGTGAGATAAGGTTAATGTTAGTCTATTTGTAAAACTAATATTTTAACACAGTCTCATTCATGTTTATCATATCACAAATCTTATATAAAAGTTTTATGTTACACTTTAACTAAACATAATGTTCAAGACATTGTTCATTTTATAATCATAGATGCTGTCAAGGTAGTCAACTGTATTACTGATTTCAAAGATGACCCACCCTACCGTCAAAAAATCTTGTTAAAATTTTTCATTAACACTGATTAATGGTAGCTATTCATGATAATAAACTAACAACAGACAGAAGTTACTGTCCTAGTCATTAGGTGTTGTACAATTTACTGAAAAATTTAAAACTATAGGATAGGATTTTTAATGTCATATGATCCACTGCATTTACCATTCTGCTTTATTTATAATGTGTGATAAAACAGATAAGTCTTACCAATAATTCTGCTACGTGCTTCAGCAGAAGAAAGACTGAAAACATTTTCCTGATGCCCTGCATCATTGAAGTACTTAGTTTCAATCTCAAGGTAGAACTTCTCGATAAATGGACAAGTGTAACGAGTTTTGGTGTATGGATAGGCATTCCAAGCTTCTTCCTCAACTGTCAAGGCAGATTTTGGAAGTAATGCTTTCAGCCAACCTAGAAGGAACAATTCAATAATCAAAAATCTATGATGTCGTAGGGTGTAAACAAACTTTTAAAACCAACTTGTTCAGTGAACAGACAGAGTTAACATTTTACCTCTTTCACAATAAAATTCACCTCACCCATATTTTCAGGTTGAATGTCAATATAAGAAGACAATTCCAGCACTTTAAACTTGACACATCTGATTATTAGTTATTTATATAATCAGTAAATACCTTGATTTTAAAATTTGTAGCTTTTAAAGGAATAATCCATAAGTAATAATCCAAGTATTAATTATAACATCAGATGAGCTACAAATAAATAGTAAACTATACTTTACTTAAAAGCTAGTAATTATTGCCCAACCTTTAGAGATGAGTTAAATTATTCAAATTTAATTATTGCTTGTTTGTTATTCTCAAAAGAAATAATAAACAACTGTGTAAATTCTTAAAGTGACTTTTAGTTGACAAAATAGTATAAAAAAACAAAAACAGAAGAGCAACAATATAAAGCAACATAGACTTTGCATGTTGACAGAGACTGAAATAAACAATATGTAAGGCCACTTGTTAGTACCTTATATTCCCGCTACCTAAGGGTGAACTAAAGTTTGAATGGCCTCAAGCCATCAGGACCTAATGAGCATTTCAATTAATGTCAAAGGTTATGAGTTATTTGATTTTACCTCAAACATGCAGCATATTTAATACAAATTATTTATATCATTTTTGTTTTTACTTTATTGTGTCAACTCAGTAAAACAAAAAGTAATCATAAATTTAATTTTATTGAATTGCCAAAGAACAGAGAGGAAAGAAATCAGAGAGAGCCCATATATAATAAAAAGCATAGAGGTAGAAGCAACAGTTGACAATGAATTTACAGAAAGTGATGACCAATACAGAAGAAAAAACATCCAAGTAACAGAAAAGGATGTTCCTCATTTTGAAGAAAAAAAATAACAAAGATAATACCAAAATACAGGTATTTGTTTAAAGAAGAACATTCTGCTAATATAATACCAATTGACAAATTATTGACAAAATACAGGTACTTGAAACTTGAGATATTGGTTCATGGCCACAAAATATAGATGACCAATCAAGAATTGTGATTGTAAAACATGGCCTTATACAAGTTATTTTTCTACTTAAGGAAAGTCAGCCTGGAAGATGATTAGATGATAACTATTTTTGGAAAATAAAAAACATGGATAAGGTGCCACTTCCATGGTCTGAGTAAACTAACTGTTTGGTAACAAGTAAATGCTAATGACTAATGAAAGTTTATGCTTCTGACAAAGTATTCAAAAATTCTAGAATCTCATTAGAAAACCAGTTTACAAATAAAATGCCTTATGAAATGGAAAAATTATATCTCCAATTGAAACTTAATCCTACAGTAGATAGTACAGCACAAGTTTAAGCTTTAATCAAAATTAAATCATTTAACAGGCATATATAACAGAATAATCAGAATAGCTATCATTGCTATTTACAGAGAGAAATCAATTTTTTCATGGAACTAGTAATAGATTAAACCACCTTAGAAATGGAAATACTTTAGCTGAAGTGGAATAGATGGCAAAATTTGATTCCATGATTGTAAACTTCAATATTTTTGTCACCACTACAGACGTGCCTATATAGGCCTACTTATTTCCGTTGTCATTCACGTCTTTTTTCACCACCTGTTACCATTGTATAATCCTGACTTCCTCACCAAATGTCAGTTTTATGGGGCCAGATTCTTTACAGAAGGTGTCTGTGACTTGTTGGCGATAAATCTGAACAACAAACGGACAGCATACAATCCACTTCCATAATAAGTTAACATATTTGTAGGTTTGTAAAAATGAAGTAAGTCAAGATTATGTGAGTCATGAAGTCCAGAATGAGCTATTACAGATGCTCTAAAATGAAATCATTAATGCACTGCTCTAAGTATTAAACGTGTGAAGTACTACTCTGTAATGGTGGACTTAACTCCTGACATTAAATTACCAAGAGTAGTCACTGGTACTTTTAAAATGGGTGAATGTCTAAGGAATGGAGGTAAATTATGCTCATTTCCTCTATTAATGTCAAGGAGTCCACAAGTTATTCTCTATCAGAGTAATTCTTGAAGACCTTATGTTTCATGAAATACTGTTCAAAGACTGCCAAGTCATGAGATGTGAAATTGAGGCAAATATGTAAAGTCAACACAAAGGTGTGTAATCTTGGTTGTAGCAAACAAGTCAAATGGACTTTATGTTTCTTATGATTGTCATTATTTGGACCTTGTAATGTTACAAATTCTTGCACTGGGAAATATATATCCCAGCTGCAGTGAATGGATTAGAGTAATCCACAACAAACTAGTAAAAGTGCACATGGATTTAACTGTTGTACTTATCCAGCATCAATAAAGCTACATCAGACGTTCGTGGAATCGGTTTAGGATTCAGCTTCAAAGTCTAGCTACAATTCTCACAAAGACACTTGATTCTTTATTCAAAAATGGTTTAGCAGCAATACATTCCAATGTGTGCATTACTTTCAGGGCATTACTTAAAGTTTCAGTGACTGTTGCATTTGTTGAGAGGAGGTTTTCAAAGTTTATTTAATTAAATCCCACCCGAGATTCATATAAATGTCAATCAATGTTAATAATTTTCATACAATATAATCTAATCCATCTTTCTCACAGCAGAATAGGTTTTTTCTATGACATTAGCATAAAAGGGTTGATGCCTAAATTCATTGCGGTAGTATGTCAGCATTACCTATTTCACAAATTATTATTGTGTTTTTGATGGCTAAATTTTCCTAGATCCAAGTCTTGCTACCCACATCATAACATTCAACAAATTTCTGAAACATTGCATAAAAAATGTTCATATTCATTAGCATTTCATAATTTTAACATTTACTTTGACAGATACCTTTAAAGTTTTTTAAATAATGAAGGAGAGACTTCTGACTATTAGAAATAGCCATTACTGAGCATAAATTCATTAATATAAAAGTCTCAGTTCAAAAGGGAAAGCTAGAACAAACAAAATTATTCCATGTGTATTAAATAAAACAAAAAAATAACTGAATTCTCTAAGGAACTGTACCTCCAACAATCCAATTATGCTTCTTTAAAACTTTCTTTTCAGGTATTATTATGTAGATTGAATGTGGTGATAAAAACATTTGTTTTTCATTTCTTTGCATTGAGGGGTCACCTTAGTGGATGATTTGTTTTTCTTTTTAGCACAAAGCAATATAATGGGTTATCAATTTAAAGGAACTGAGTTCTGATTTACTATAATTACTTACACTTATGATAAGAATTATGAATTATTTTATTGGTGTTTCTGAATTTTTTCAAAGAGCTAAAGTAATTAAAACACCTCTTTTCAGACTAACTATTTACTGACACTTAAAGTTTGAAGGCCATTAATTCCAATACTAAAAGTACTAGTATTAGACTGTTGGACTGTTTATTTAACTAAACAGCACTATATGCACATAATGGGTCAGAGACCCCAATGGTTTAGGCATAGCTGTACCTAATTTTTAGCTGTGACAAGAGAAAAGGCATTCAGTAGGCAGCACCTGCCACCAAAGGTGACTACTTTCATCAAATAGCAGGGCTGATTGTCAATTTTTAACACAACCACAGCTGAAGTGTGTTTGTTTGAAATACAACTTGAACCCTAGACCCTCAGATCCCTAATCCAACATGCTAACTACTGGACCATGCTCTGGCCTTGGAAGCTCAGACAGAATGTTCTTTGTGGTCTGTGCAATATATTTTGAATTATAGAAAAATAAAACTAAAAAAAAAAAAAATTAACCAAATTGAACAAAACTTGCTATATCGCAAACTCACCAAACAAAGAGATAATATACGAGTTTTATGGTGATGTGATATCCAGGCATATTATCTGTTTTCTATCTGCTTTAGTTATGTAGGATTTAAAAAAAATTTTCATTTATTTAGTTTGTAACAGTGTTAGCATAACCATGTAGCCCAAAAAGTTGTTGAGATTGTCTTGTTCTAGTTGCTTTGTTCTCTATAGCAGATAATGTCTATTCTGACCGAGAGATGTAGCATTTGGGTTGAAAGGACTTGCTGGCTGAGTTGACATTGTCTGAATGTTACAGCTAACAAATGCTGTGAGAAAACAAAGTTCATGAGATGATACTGTCAACTTTACAAATAAACTGAGTCTACCTGTTGAATCCAGGCATTCTTTCATGGTTAAGTTCTACCCTAGTTTTCATTGTGACTAGTTTGGCAGAGATGGAAAACTAATGAGCTATTCACTGATTCAGTAGATATTATAGTCCACTTGTCTACACAGGGGTAAACACATTTTTTTTTGTCTAAATGAAGATTATTTTCACTGTCCATCAAAACTATCCAATCTGTTTATTTCTCATGCAACTTAAAAACTCAGTCAAATTATCAAACACAGAATACCATCCTTATTTCCTGTTTGAATGTGCAGGTCTAACTATCTGATACTTGTAGGAAAATTATTTCACCTGAAAATATCACACTGATAAATCACTGATCTTAAACTTGCTTACTATTGTAAAGATGTTTTTGTAGGGAGTGGGTATGTAATGCACCACCTTTATTTCTTTTTTAACTTTATCAAAAAGTGGACTAAAAAATAAAGCTCACCTGGTAAATGGCTGCCAATGTGATAAATTTTGTGAGTATATTGCCCACTTCCACCAGGACCATCAACATATGGCTTATTTACCAGAAACTCCACACCACTCCCAGCTCCTCGTGTTTCCTCCCTACTTTTTTTCTGTACAATTAAATAAGTAAAGTTCTTTTTTTCTATATATATATATATATATGATCAATATTTAGTAAATTATATAAAACAAACAATGTTTTATTTTTTTTATACTTTTTAACTGAATGGTTTTTTTTCTGGACAGATAGAAACACTCAAACTGACACTGTGGAAACAACATGTTGTAATAATTTTTTGAAAGGCATTTATTAAAGAAAAGATGTTGGTGAAGTATGGTCCTTGGATTGCTGTAATCTAATTAATATTAACTTCTGATCACAGTAAACTGTGTACTTAGAGCAAACTAAACATCTTCTGGTAATCAGTATAGCTGATTAAATATACTTTTCATATGGTTCAATTACAAAGATTAGAATGCATTGTTTCATCAGTGGAAAAGTAATTAAGGATTTTGTGAATCAGTCTTTCTTATTATAAAAGTTGGTTATATAATTTTCAAGCTATATCCAGTGACTAGTTAGAGGTGCTACCAACAGGACTGCAATATGAAAAGTATAATTTTATTAGGTAGCAAAACACATATTGTGACCAACTGAGGACTGCAATTTCAAACAATACAAATTCAGTTAAGTGTGAATACTATGGTATTGGCTCTTTTAATTGTTATTATATAATAAAATGGTTTAAATAACAAAGTTGTCTGTGTGGTTTGGTTAAATTAGCATACTTTTTAACAAATTTATGGGTGGTTGGGCCCCCCCGTGTAAGTTTTTTATGATAAAATTACATATTTGAAGTGAAGAGTCCACTGATATTCTCAAATGATCTGACTGGTTGGTTGTTACTTTATCAACAATGTTAAAACAACATAATTTTAAAATATCACTTCAGCCTTCAGTCTTACCACACCAAAATAAGTAAAATATCATCAGCTAAGAATATTCAACAAAAACACTTCTATAGCACTGATACTTGATGATGTCTTTACTGGCAAAACCATGGTCATTAATAAATGAAGTATTTGTGAATATCTTTGTTTTTCTCCTCAATTCCATACTTCTATAGCATGTTTATAGATTGATAAATTAGCTCAAACATCCTATTACTCTTTAGGTTGTTTATGTGCAAAGTATAAAAAAATCACACCATGTATCAAAATACATAACGTGACCATCAACAAGCCACCTAAACATCAAGCATTACAGTCCGGCTATGACAAATAAAATTAAACTTACCTTATAACCCCTCCCCTCTCTCTCTCACACACACACACACATCATGAGATTAGTCACCAGGGTATGTGCTATAAAAAGCAAAATACTTATAACTGAGCAATGTTTGTTTGTTTTAGAGCAAAGTCACATTGGGCTATTTGCTGTGTCCACCACAGGGTATCAGACCACAGATTGTAGTGTTGTAAATCCTTAAACTTACTGCTGTCCAACCAGGGGACACCGAGCAATGTATTATACAACATGGTGTGTTCTTTAGCCTGCAAAATATACTACACATTTAAAGAATGTTCCACGCAGTATCATAATATACATCATATATGTAACATAATGTTTTGGAACAACATGGGACCTATTGGTCCATCTCTGCTGTTCCATCCTCTAAGTTAAAATAAATAACTTTAAAAAAATTTAAAGTCAGCCTTTATCATTTATATACTTATCAAGCATCTTCTTAAACTCACTTAAATTTACTGCCCCTACAACATCTGAAAGCAACCCATTCCAAAGGTCA